AACACCTGTATGATGTAGCATCACTGACGTGTCCCAAAAGGACGAAACACCTGTATGATGTAGCATCACTGTCGTGTCCCAAAAGGACGAAACACCTGTATGATGTAGCATCACTGACGAGTCCCAAAAGGACGAAACACCTGTATGATGTAGCATCACTGACGTGTCCCAAAAGGACGAAACACCTCAATGAAGTAGCATCACTCACGTGTCCCAAAAGGACGAAACACCTGTATGATGTAGCATCACTGACGTGTCCCAAAAGGACGAAACACCTGTATGATGTAGCATCACTGTCGTGTCCCAAAAGGACGAAACACCTGTATGATGTAGCATCACTGACGTGTCCCAAAAGGACGAAACAGCTGTATAATGTAGCATCACTGTCGAGTCCCAAAAGGACGAAACACCTGTATGATGTAGCATCACTGACGTGTCCCAAAAGGACGAAACACCTGTATGATGTAGCATCACTGACGTGTCCCAAAAGGACGAAACACCTGTATGATGTAGCATCACTGACGTGTCCCAAAAGGACGAAACACCTGTATGATGTAGCATCACTGACGTGTCCCAAAAGGACGAAACACCTGTATGATGTAGCATCACTGACGTGTCCCAAAAGGACGAAACAGCTGTATGATGTAGCATCACTGACGTGTCCCAAAAGGACGAAACACCTGTAAGATGTAGCATCACTGACGTGTCCCAAAAGGACGAAACACCTGTATGATGTAGCATCACTGACGAGTCCTCAAAGGACGAAACAGCTGTATAATTTAGCATCATTGTCGTGTCCCAAAAGGACGAAACACCTGTATGATGTAGCATCACTGACGTGTGCCAAAAGGTCGAAACAGCTGTATAATGTAGCATCACTGTCGAGTCCCAAAAGGACGAAACACCTGTATGATGTAGCATCACTGACGTGTCCCAAAAGGACGAAACACCTGTATGATGTAGCATCACTGACGAGTCCTAGAAGGACGAAACACCTGTATGATGTAGCATCACTGACGAGTCCTCAAAGGACGAAACAGCTGTATAATGTAGCATCACTGTCGAGTCCTAGAAGGTCGAAACAGCCGTATGATGAAGCATCACTCTCAAGTCCTAGAAGGTCGAAACAGCAGTATAATGTAGCATCACTGTCGAGTCCTAGAAGGTCGAAACAACTGTATGATACACTTAAATTCATTGTTTGGCTCTGCTGTATTTTACTTTAAATAAGATACCATTGTTATTTCATGCAAAGTAGTCGAGATACTCTGTTAACTTATAGTTCCTTCTGTCGTCGAATTTGCGTTGCTTTATTTGCCTTATTTTCTGTCGATTTGAAATTATGCAAAAATTTCACTTTGTTCAGATTTTGTTTCTAAATCTTTTTCGAGCTGGTGTTTTTAAGTTGTTCTAGTTATATCTTTACACAAATTCTACAAATCAAATATCGTATTATTTTTAGATCCTGTCACACGAGCGTCTTTTGTAAATCAAGAAGGATATTTCATTATTATAGGGTTTGTTTCCAAATGTCACGATTTTCGTGTTATATGACAAACACACAACACAAAGCTTCGAGAAATGTAGATTGATGAAAACTATGGAGAAGTTTTATTGTTTCCCATGGTGTTTCCCTTGTTCTCATTTGAGAACGTGACATTACTTAATTGTGTTGACCAAGATTTACACGTTGTGTGTTGATGAGACAGAAAACGATCACCCTTTCAGAAAGACATGGTCTTATTCTTCTTGTACTTTTTCAGAGGTCCCAGTAAATCCTTCCTTTGTTCATATTTGGTCCTGGTTTCTTCGAATTTGATTGTAAGATTCGGTTGACATATTGGTATTTTCTGAACTGTGGACACACAACGTATTTTTTTCTTTAAAATGATATTCGACATTGCATTTTGTTTCAAGTAAGGAAAAGAAATCATGGCAGTTTGACCACTCGCTTTAATGTGAAAATCTAAAGTATGAGCATGTCACAAAAGTAATATAAACTTAATGACTTTGGTTTAATAGAAAAAAAAATAAAAGGTACAGGATGATAGAATCATACCACCAATCAGATAAGTTTTTAGTAATCAGACCTAGATGTATCAGGATTGTCATTTATTGATAATCTATAGAGAAATATAATAACAAGGTCAGTGGAATAAGACGATACTACAAGGTGTCGTCTTGTTGGAGGGCTGTGAGATAATGATAGCTTTATATCGAATAGTAACAAAAAAATGGTTATTGTCTGTCAACATATGCAAGCATGTAATGTGATATAGTTAAGTCGTCAACTGACTGACAAACTTGTAACACAAGGGCTAAAAAGACGCAGACTGGTGAAAATTATGAGAAAGTCTTATGGTCGCCATAGTGATCTCATTGAGAAATATTCTATTTCTTTGTGCGACATGATGCTGGACGTATTTGACGCTCGTTAATTTGCCTGTTGTTTCCGTTGTTGTATACCTTGTTCTCATTTGAGAACGTGACATCACTTACCTGAATTGACCAAGGTTTACATGGCGGGTGTCGTCGTGGAAGCAGAAGACGCTTACTCTTCCAGAGTACCTGGTCTTTTTCTCCTTGTACTTTTTCAGGAGTCCCTGTGTATTTGTTTCCTTTGTTTATATGTTGCCCTAGTTTTATGTAATTTGAGTTTGAATTATGATTATTTTTGCCATGTTGGTATTTTCGTGATTTTTTTAAGGTAAGATCAATCATACTAAATATTTCAAATCCAATAAGACACAGTTTCCATAATAAAAGACCGAAAGGCTAACTTCAAAAATACACCTCATTCATTGAATAATACTATTTGGGCGATTTTGGGTTTTCAAAACCACCTCTCTTTGATATACACAGCTCGAGACTCCTAGTATTACTGCAACGTTGGTGACTAAGAAGGATGGGTAAATCTGACATAGGTACTTAATATGTCTTATTCTATATCTAAAGGCCATTTTGATTAGAGTGTCTAAGGTTATAGACTTAAGATAATATTACCCTTGCTTCTTTAACATTTCGTGTTCAAGAAGTTGTTCCTTGTGTAACAGAGGTCATTATTTATTTCAATACCTCCGTGATAATCTAGGACTTCTGGCTTAATAGTCTGACGCTCAACCGTTCGAGCTAGAGAGATTCTCTCTAGCCGAGCGGTATATTACAGCTATTATCTACCAAAGCTATCTTGAGTTACACCAATATCATTTCCTTTAAAGATGTCGAGAACCAACAAATGAACTTACAAAAGGGGTTTTTGAGACATGCATGTTGATTGGATGTATAGGAAATTCCTGTGGTCACCGACTTGTACTCTAATCGTTCGTGAGATATGGTGTTTTAGGGGTTCGATGGCCGTTGATATACCTCAACATAAGCTACTTTGACCAACATTTGAAATGACGTGTGTCTTCGATTAAGTAGAAAGCAACTATCTCTCCAAAACACCCAGTTTTAATTCCCTTGTAATTTTCTGTAATCTTTCTGCAAATATTTATTTTATTCCCGTGTTGTCCTCGTTCATTATCTTTGAATTGTAATTTTAACAAAGCAATGCCGCTAGACAGTATTTTCTTGACTTTGATGAACTGATAGATATCGGTTTTGTCGTATTTTATTCAAACACTTAAATTTGTCATGTGGATTTTCTTACTCTCATATACAACAGCCATATAAACACGGACACATGCACCTATCAATATCACCAGCAGACCTGTGCGCGATTGTCACGTGTTATCTGTGTTACGTAAGTCATGTTTTTCATTTTATTTTAAAATGGATACCACATTGGGAAAGTCTAGGTCGATGTTTATCTTGTGTTATTTGAGTTTGGATCTGACATGGACACCAGGATATGACGACATGTTAAACAGTGTCTTTTCCTGCTATTGGTTTGCTTACGCAACTCTGGTTTAGATCCGTACATAAGTAAACTGTATTTACGGTCCATCTCAAACCATTCCCTGTTGTCCGTCAAATTGATAGATTTTGTATTACGGTGTTATTTCTCACGATAATAAAGCTATGAATTTACATAGGACTAGTTGATGATTGATTCCTCATCAATGAGTTCGTAAAAGAGTTATTTTGTGACAGAGAATAACAGGTAAACGTTTTTATTTTATCCACGGCATAATCGATATCTACATCCTAGTAAAATCCTAGTAATGTCCTGCTCCCATGTCACAACAGAAGTGGCAACAAACCAACAAAAACACATTTTCAGCATTATATCGCAAATTATGTAGGTTTTCCAGGACTGAAATGGCAACCATCAAACAATCACCCATAGTTAATCAAGATATACTAGTCAGACAGCGTCAGTTACTATCGTTTCATTTGTAGACACCATACTTTCTAGATTTATAACTATCAACAAAGGAGATGTTTCGGTTACCTGTTACGATCAGTTTTGATATGGCCGAAATATTGGCACGTTTTGTTCCAGTGGTACTAGTAGTCAGTTTGAAGAGATTGGCACCAACTCCAACGTAAATGGTTTCAAGCAGAAATTCTTGTGACAAGAAATGTATTTTAAGAAGAGAATGAAGGAGTTCCTAGATTTCGAATATTTCCATCAAAGAAAACCTCACGATCTCAGGTCTGAAAATATTTTGTTTTAAAAGTATGATTATTATGTTTCGTTGTTATTATTGACATATTTATAAGATGTGTATGTGTGGAATTGAGATTTGAATTGAACCAGACGAAGACATCAATAATTTACATTGTATATTTTATTACAAAACTATTCTGAATTGTGTTTCTTGAGCTGTTGCATACCCAAAGGACGCGCACAGCTCGAGGTACACGTGCATGATGAGATGTAATGACTTTGTGTCTTAGACACGTTGTTCACGAGCAGATGTTGAGAGTGTAGCACTGGATGTCACTATCTGTTGCTAGGGCAACCACACATTTCTGAACCTTTCTACTCGATTTGCAGAAACATTGTAAGACACTGGATTGACGCGGTCCGTAAAAGACCCACTCGTAACACGTCAGCCCGTCACTTTGACTTTAGATTGTGTCGAGGATTTCCGTGAAGGTGTAGATAGAGTAACACCAGGAGTGGTTGGTTTGGAGGAGGAGGATGCAGAGGTTGGTCCAGTGCGTCTCATACCGGAAACGAGGCTCGGATTGTACATTATACCGTTAGCAATCAGCTGTGCTATGTATGCGTTCGGAACCTACAAAAAGTTAACAATGATAATTAAATCAACGTTGTGAAATACTTTTGTGATTGAACAAAAAAAAAAAAAATTTAAGTTGTAAAACATGATTTCCGAGGAGAATTTAACTTTTTTTCACGTTATTCTAACACACCATATGACATTTAATATCTAGTTACCTTGAGGTCTAGCCCTTCCATTTCACTGAATCTGTTACCGGCGGCATTTCTGTAAAGAGTCGTGAGGATATAATAAATGACATCGTCATCACAATGGTACTGATTCGTGTGTAAAGCTCGTCTATTATAAAGGACAATGCGGGCAAAACAAACATGGACATATTACTTACCAAATAGATATCATATTTTATTATTCACTTCCTTGAGTTTTTCATGTTAGAATGTAATACATAATGAAATCTGGAGGTTCTCCGAAAGGAAGACAAATTATTTCACCACAACAAAATATCTGAGATACTTGAAACGTATTATCAGAACACAGTGTATGAAAGGGATATTAAATAAGTCATCGTCAAAATAGAATTTGTACAAATGTTTTAAGAGGAAATGTAAATTCTGTGTTAGTCGTTTGAGAGAATGACATAACTTTGAAATAACCTAACTTTACGTCTTGGTCTAGGATTGAACGAGAATGTAAATTCTGTGTTAGTCGTTTGAGAGAATGACATAACTTTGAAATAACCTAACTTTACGTCTTGGTCTAGGATTGAACGAGAATGTAAATTCTGTGTTAGTAGTTTGAGAAAATGACATAACTTTGAAATAACCTAACTTTACGTCTTGGTCTAGGATTGACGCGGTCCGTAAAAGACCCACTCGTAACACGTCAGCCCGTCACTTTGACTTTAGATTGTGTCGAGGATTTCCGTGAAGGTGTAGATAGAGTAACACCAGGAGTGGTTGGTTTGGAGGAGGAGGATGCAGTTAGTAGTGTTAGTAGTTTGAGAAAATGACATAACTTTGAAATAACCTAACTTTACGTCTTGGTCTAGGATTGAACAAAAATGTGACTTTTGTATCATATCATCTTTACCCACCAACGCTTGATATTTTCACAACACTTACCTTGTCCTGAAGGTCAATGTTGAAATTGTGAGGTTCGTAATATCGGTGACGGGGCCAAGGTCAGCCCATTGACCGTTGGCTCCATACACCTGAGGCACCAGGCCAGGGTACTGGGTATCCGTCAATATTACACTTTTATTCTTTCCGTCAAAAGGATCGTAGAACTGGGGATCAACGCTGTAAGGGAAATGAACGGCGTTAATGAGCGCAGTAAACCCTTCAAACACTTCAACAATGATTGAAATAACGTTTCGAAATCGTATACTTTAATGTTAACAAAGCATTTATAACAATTCCGCTAAGGTAGGACAAATGTTCATCAAATCTGTATTTCCAAAAGGACAAACACGTAAGCTTTCATTTCCGCTTAAAATAAGTCTACTATTGGCCTCATTGTATGCAGACACATGCACTTCTCATTACTTAGAGACAAATGCAAAATTATAAAAATAATCTCTGCAATCGCAATAAAAATATTTTGAACTAGAGCTGTTACTTACTGAACACCTGGTGGCGGTATACGGTGTGGAATGGTGTATGCTTCGAGTCTCCTCAGCTCTTTATGACCGACAATGCTGGCGAACCTAACCCAGTCCTCGTTCTGAGCCTTTAGGTTTGGAGGGACAAATGGCATGGATCTATTAAAACGTCCCACATAGGAAGACTCCCAATCTGCCTTGTGCCACGCGCGCTCGGCGAAGGCCAACAAACGTGGGAACATCAGTCCAAACAAGTGGTCTTCGTTACGGATCTTTGGGGTCAGAATATGTGCTTGCATACCTTAAAAGGGAATAGCAATGTAGATAATCATTTTCATTCGTTCTTTATGTAATATCAATAGTTCTTGGAAAAAAACTTATAAAAATATGCCTTCAGAGACATGAGGAATTAGACCACCTACTGAGATGTAACGTTTAAGATGTAAACGATAAAGACGGTAGAATTAATATCGTTAGCTGTACAGAGAGGGTAGAAGTAATATCGTTTGCTGTACAGAGATGTTAGAAGTAATATCGTTTACAGTACAGATGGTAGAAGTAATATCGTTAGCTGTACAGAGATGGTAGAAGTAATATCGTTTACAGTACAGATGGTAGAAGTAATATCGTTAGCTGTACAGATGGTAGAAGTAATATCGTTTGCTGTACAGATGGTAGAGGTAATATCGTTTGCTGTACAGATGGTAGAAGTAATATCGTTAGCTGTACAGATGGTAGAAGTAATATCGTTAGCTGTACAGATGGTAGAAGTAATATCGTTAGCTGTACAGATGGTAGAAGTAATATCGTTAGCTGTACAGATGGTAGAAGTAATATCTTTTACAGTACAGATCGTTTGCTGTACAGATGGTAATATCGTTAGCTGTACATATGGTAGAAGTAATATCGTTAGCTGTACAGATGGTAGAAGTAATATCGTTTGCTGTACAGATGGTAGAAGTAATATCGTTAGCTGTACAGAGATGGTAGAAGTAATATCGTTAGCTGTACATAGATGGTAGAAGTAATATCGTTAGCTGTACAGATGGTAGAAGTAATATCGTTAGCTGTACAGATGGTAGAAGTAATATCGTTAGCTGTACATATGGTAGAAGTAATATCGTTAGCTGTACATATGGTAGAAGTAATATCGTTAGCTGTACAGATGGTAGAAGTAATATCGTTAGCTGTATAGAGAGGGTAGAAGTAATATCGTTTTCTAAAAAGGATGCATAACAAACTTTACAGGTCAAACGACTTTTATTGAACTAAAGGAAGTTTTTAAACTTTGTTGTAGTCAGTTTTCAAAAAAATAGTAGAATGCTTGTGTGCATTAGTTGCGGGAGTGTGTGCATGTGAAAAGTAGTACATTACTGACCTCATCTGACCTTAAGTTTCTACATTGAGGACAATATTGAGAACAGACACTAAACCCGTGTTTGAGAACACGAGATGAATAGAAAAAAAATCTTTCAACGTTTCTAAACTGATGTACAAGGGACATGATGTTGATATAGAACAAATAGTAACTTGTCATATGATATATCATTTAAACTCGTCACCGCCCTCACGTAAATCCTGTGGTACGTACCTGTGATATTTCCAGGATAATCCAGTGGTACACAGTCGTCAGTGTCAATACACCCGTTAGGTGTAAACTTTCCATACCTGAACTCGTCCGGATTAAGATTACAACAGCGGTTGTCAGGCAGGTAGTTGAACACTCTGGTGGCTTGGATATGTCGTATCGCCCAGTAGGCCCCGGGAATATGCGGGTCGGGTTCCGGGGCGTGATCTAAACTCACATAATCAGCGGGAGATAGAATCACCTGTAAAAATAATCGTGTATACGGCAGGCGTTAAGTATAATTACAATTTGACCACAGGTAGTACAACTATATTTTTGTCATTATCACCTTTTGTTTTTTTTTTCGTCAAAATAAATCCTTTACTCGTTGTACCTCTGGTGATATAGAGGACGAATTTAACTTTATCCTAAAATGTCCTTTTTACCAAAATCTGAGACGTAAATATATCAAACAATTCTATTACAGAAGTCAAAATGTTTTTAAGTTAACGATATTACTGAGCAAAAATAATGTAAAAGAATTATGTAATTTAGGGAAATAGTTATATTGTGCCTCAAGGAAACGCTTAGAATTTAGAAATTGATAGAACTACTTGTACACTACAGTATCATTGTAAGCTTACTCTTCATTTAACCTGATCTGTATAACATTCTTTCATATTTGTACCACATTATGTAATTATGTGTTTGTTATTTAACGTATGAGTCGCATGGTTCACGGAAATAAAATAAATAAAAAAAAAAAAAACTCAACACACGTACGTTATATTAAAATCATTTACGAGTGTTGTCAGGGCGAAATAGCGGTATAATGCAATTTAATGTTTTAGTTGACTGTACCTTATTCTAAATTTGTACTGAGAGTTGCGTTTCATTCAGGTGTCTTCTGTACAACTTTGTAAAAGTTATTGTAATCATGTCAGCATGGACAGATTGATAAGTAAAATCTCTTGATATCAAAGTTTCCTCGTATGTTTGTCGACTTAGAAGTAAAAGTTTTGTGAAAATTCAAAATAAAAATACTTCACTTGGTTTCACCTATTCTTCACACGTGCAGACATGGTATGTAACTTAGTGTTACCAAATCAGCTTACCTTGTAACCGACATTTGCCATCACCTGGGCTCTTTGGAACGTCATTGGGTCAAAAGAGTTGGTCAAAACAGGGTACAGGTCGATGTTACCAGGGAAACGTGAACGACTAAAGGGCACGAGGATCCCCCCTCTCTCGTCGTTGGTTGGCCAGGCACTGAAGAAATCTTCGACTCCAGCCAAGTTTACTCCCAAGGAGGACGATATGTTGGCCAGTCGCGTAGTGTAGTTAACCTTCATCAGCATGAATGGGTCCGGCCCTGTCAGATTCAGAGCATTGCAGTAGGTGGAGTTTATCCGGGTAGCGGCTGGGACATCATGGCCTCCTACATTAATTAATGTAAGTGGAGATTTTGCCCTGGCATGATACCCGATCATGGTCTTCAGGATTTTGGTATAGAATGCGTCCACAGTTTGTATACATGGGTTAATAACGGCATCACTGTACAGGTCTTCGGTCATGTAATTTACAGTGTCCGCAGGGTCAAAGATTCTCATGCTTTTGTCACCTGTTCTGTTTTCGTAAGATTTCATAGAAACGATTGCAGCACGAGCTTTACCGCCAAAATTTATCCATGGAATGATTTCTATATGTCGTCTTTTAGCGGCTTTTAGTATGTCCATATAATCTTTTCCCGAGTAAAATCCGGAACCGGAAGTTGTATTATCAGGTCCAGAGCCAAACTGACTAAAGAGACATGTTGTCTCATTCAAATCGTGACAGCGCCGTCCTCCGATCTAACAAAAAGAAAGTTTAACATTTAACGGTATCATTATATAAGACATTCAATGCACTGATAACCAGGGGTGGACGACATGTATTTCATACAATTTATGGTTTCAAATTTACTCATGTAGCATATGAAGGAATGTGACGACTAAACATCTGTACTTCCTTAAAACGAGGATTTCACTTAACGATCTTCAGGTATTTGCTATTTGAAAAAGTCAGTTAATTCAAGTAAACGTCTTCAATAAACAGATTGTTAGACGGTACCTGTGAAAGCTCGGGAATGTCTGGTATTTCAATTCGCCATCCTTCGTTGTTAGCAAGCTTGAGCTGGAGTTTGTTTAGCTTGTATAACGCCATCACATTCAAGAGTTTGATTATCGTGGTCTTGGGGTAAAAGTTACTTGCAACGTCAAGCATAACTCCTCTGTACGGAAATCGTGGTTCGTCTGTGATTTCCATCTCTTGAACGGTACCATCGAATGCGAGAAGACTGAAAAGCGTTTGGATGCCGTTGAATACGCCATGGACGGTGTTTCCTCCTACCTCTATCCTGGGGGGCGTACTCTTCACTCGTATAAGATACCGCTCAGGGCTCTCTGTGGCAGGCCGGTTTCTTCGGATGTATAGTTGTATAACATCCTTACTGCCTCGCTTCTTGTTCTTGATGCGGATTCCACTGATGGATTCTACAATTATGTAAAACATTTGAAATAAAAAAGTTTATCTCTTATTAACAAACTTTTTTCTGAGTCACCACACTTTTATCTTGTTCAAATATTTCCCAAGCTATATGTTTACTCGTCATCCATCATTCACACATCTTGATTTATGGAAGTAATGATATACATTTTAAAATACAATACAAATGGACATATATGTATGGTATTGTACCTCTCAACAACAGTGTAGATTCCGAACAATTTGTTATGACTGACGAGATCTAACCTAATAGTTGTCATCTTGTTGTTAGAGGTAATCTGATACCCAGCTAACAAAGTCACCATACTATTATCTATGATACAGTGTTTTGAATTTTGAAAGAAGGTGTTGAAAATTTTGATATCTAACAAGAAAAATGTCTACCTCATTTCTCTCCAAGACAGAGTTATAAATTATGGAGCAAGGGGAATAACTGTAACACATTTATGTCCAAACAGCACAGCGTAACACCTCCATCCTAAAAAGATTTTACATGCCGTTGACGATTATCGATGGCTCATATGTATGGAATCTTCGAATTGTGTTTGACGCAACTTGAAAAAAAATCAACAGCACCAATTGCATTCATAATGCCTTGAACAAAACGAACGCCGGTGTCCACTTACTTTTGAGATAAGTTGCCACTCCAGTCAGACGGCCATCCCGATCTCGGTCGATTGACCACTTGTTGTTGACCATAACTTTGCCTGGTTTGAGTTTCTGTTCCAGAGGGGTTGGGATAACTGAGTACTTTGTGGCATTAACAGCTGTAAAGTTGTACCCGGTATATCTGTTCCACAGACCAAGTGGAGTCCCGTACAAATCGGTAGGGACGCTTCTCATCCACTTCAGGAACGTATTGTGTGGTGTGACGAAAAGCGGGACGTCATTCTTGGTATTTTGTATGCTGGCGGTATGCGTTTCATTTGAGAGATACCAGTTAGGATAGACGTCAAACCTGCTGACGGCGGTGTTAGACGAGAGGAAAGACACATTGCGGGTTTCTCCTGGATTAAGGGGTTGAGATTGATAGGCTGGGTTTTTACCGACGTACGGCTGAAATTTAAACATGCACCCTTTTACGTGTGTAAGGGTAATATTCCCTGACAAAATAAGCCCACCTCCAAAATACTGCGCCGCGGACGTGTTGTAATACAGAGGCTGGATTAATGGGTTGTGACAGAAGTATATACTCCATCCAGATGCAGGGATCGAACTGTTGCCGACGTTAGCCAGAGAAATGTTTGCCAGGAAGGAGTTTCCGTACACAGGACTTGGAGGGTTGTGGCGGTCTACGTCATAAGTGATGGCTAAGTTCTTGGCCAACTCGTCGATGTCCACGGCAAGTACGATTACTACAACAAGAGAGATAACTCGTATACAAAATATCAAAATTACATCGTACGGAGGTACGCCCTCTCTCACATATAACACCTTACTTGTAGTACCGAACACACAACTCGTGTGTTTTCTTGTTTTTATTATATCTAGACTCCAGACGATTATCTTCTCTAAGAATTTAAAAAAAAAAAAAATCAAGCAATTGGAAGTTTAGATTGGTACTCAAAATAGTCATGTCGTTGACATATTTCCGTTTTGTGTCTTTGATTACTTCATAAGGTCTTATAAACGAAATTTGTGCGAGTTAGATTATTTTGATATTTTGTGATTTGAATGTAGTCGTCTAAGGTTTGACGCTGAATGTTACAAGTAATTATGTCGTTGTTGCGTGAATGATTTAAGGAATATAAATGTAATAACAATTCTGATCAAAGCGACTTTCTATAAGTCCAACGTGGTTGAAGAAAGGAGGTTATTTTTCCGTAAAGCTTAACATTGTCTATCGGTCTGGAGTCATTGTTCTCACCAGGAGGAAACTCGTATAACGTATCTTCAGATAGGATTGATATGTCCTTGGTTATCCCTATTGTAACTGTCTGCACGTGACATGACCTCATAATTAAAGGTTAACATTAAGTGAGATAAAGCAAGTGTATATGAAAAACTATAGATCTGTCATTCCAACCACAATCAGTGAGTCATTTCTGGGTAACATGGAAACTTTCTAAAGAGTGAAAAAAAAATCATATTTTTTGTGCAATCAATCGAATTAGAATATATGATAGAGAGAACGATCTGACATGCACTTGGTTTCGTTGACTTATAGGTTTAGGGAAAACGGAGCATATTAATTATTCTGTCCGATGTTAACGGGCCTCTGACAGGCCTAGGTATACTGCCTGGGGCTGTACGTGGTCCGGCGAGTCTCGTTATGTTGACATTACTTGGAGTAACAGCCATTAACAGCTGTTTGTAGCATGGCGCTTTCTATTGTTGTAAGGTAAATGTTTGGTGTAAATGTAAGGCACATGTTGTAGAACTCCCATTTCCGCCATTTAATATATAAACACACACGTTTCAACATTTTCCATTTTTCATCATACCAACGAAGTAAATTTTATAAATATTTTTTACATGCATGTTAAATGTCTTTTTTCCAAAAACTCGGAGTCAGCAGTTTACAAACGCTTTGAAAACAACACACACAAAAAATAGAAATGTCGGATTTGCTAACAAATCCATAGCTATTCTATAGTTGATATTTTACAGTTAACACTGTGTTAATAAATAAATGTGGATTGTGTTTTTGTGTTTGTTTAAATTCAAAACTTTATTTATTTTACAACAATTTCTAAACCGTTGTTATCCAACCTATATTAATCACGCTTGTTGGCCCGGCATAAAGCGCACGAAATCTTACCGTGGGAGGAAACCGAAGTATCGACACAAAACTCACGTGGTTGGGCAGGTGACCCCTTACTTTGATTTCTCACGTCCGCGCGGGGAATCGACCCTCGAATATTACAGTCACCCGACTACCCTTGTGATACCCTTGTGTACACCAAAATACAAGTGTACAAGCGAAGTAACTCTGACTCGTATACATCAACACTTGATTACAAAATACGTCACACCTTTTTGATTTTTTTGAAAAAAAAAGTTTAATGTATTTATGTGAATAGATTCATCTGTAAGAAAGTAAAAGAGCAATTTAAGTGTCGCGCTTCAGTGGCTACAATCTGTCACTTTCTTAAGACATATGAACAGTGAACACTGAGGAGTAAAGTGTACGAAAGGTGAAAGCAGTCAAACCGACAGATCGATTCCTCATCATTTCAGGCATAATTAATATTAATCTTGGTTGTGAAGAATATACGAACTAACGGTTAATTGTTGTAACACTTGAAGTCGACTCGGCCACACTTATAAATCACTCTGTGATGCATTGTGCTGCACTTCAGAATATATTTGTGAGAGTATTAAGGCCACATCATTTTAATATAGAATTTGGAAACGTCATCATTGGCATAACACTTTACCACAATTGATTTGAATAGCATGCAGCGGGACAAGCGCATATTTTTCAGTGGTGTTGCTACTAGCTACTTAAAGGAGACTTCGTCTCAAAATATCGAACAACGTTTGAAATGAAGATTAATGAGTGAAGTCATCTTAATGTTTCCTAAAAAATCCAAACCATTTCATACACAGGTATAATTAACAACTGAAGAACATGTATTAATTACACGCACGATAAGTCGCATTTTAAGGCGTACTAATATTCGTTTACATATTTACACAACCTACCAAGGTTAATCATCTGACCAGGCCATGTATGTGTGTCTGTTCTAACTTAGGATGATAAATGCCTGTTATACGATGTATACTTCGTAATGACAAGAATAGAACATACATTAGTAAGTGAAGTATTAGAGAAATCACTCAAATAGAACACGTCACTTTTTACGAAACGGAAACAAACAGAACAACAGGAACTAAGTGGACACAAAAGTAAAAATAAGAAAAAACATCAAAAACTGACGGAACACGAAAACAAAAGGAACGAAAACAGCAGGAACTGATGGAACACGAAAGCAAAAGCAAGGTAGACAACGACAACTAAGAAAACAAAAGTAAGGCAGACGACAGGAAGTGAGGGAAAGTAAAAACAAAAGTAAGGAAGACGACAGGAAGTGAAGGAGAGTAAAAACAAAAGTAAGGAAGACGACAGGAAGTGAGGGAAAGTAAAAACAAAAGTAAGGAAGACGACAGGAAGTGAAGGAAAGTAAAAACAAAAGTAAGGAAGGCGACAGGAAGTGAAGTAAAGTAAAAACAAAAGTAAGGAAGGCGACAGGAAGTGAGGAAAAGTAAAAACAAAAGTAAGGAAGACGACAGGAAGTGAGGGAAAGTAAAAACAAAAGTAAGGAAGGCGACAGGAAGTGAAGGAAAATAAATCAAAAGTAAGGAAGACGACAGAAACTGGGGGAAAGTAAAAACAAAAGTAAGGAAGCCGACAGGAAGTGAGGGAAAATAAAAACAAAAGTAAGGAAGACGACAGGAAGTGAGGGAAAGTAAAAACAAAAGTAATGAAGACTTCAGGAAGTGAGGGAAAATAAAAACAAAAGTAAGGAAGAAAACAGGAAGTGAAGGAAGTAAAAACAAAAGTAAGGAAGGCGGCAGGAAGTGAAGGAAAGTAAAAACAAAAGTAAGGAAGAAGACAGGAAGTGAAGGAAAGTAAAAACAAAGGTAAGGAAGCCGACAGGAAGTGAAGGAAAGTAAAAACAAAAGTAAGGAAGACGACAGGAAAGGAAGGAAAGTAAAAACAAAAGTAAGGAAGACGACTGGAAGTGAAGGAAAGTAAAAACAAAAGTAAGAAGACGACAGGAACTGAGGGAAAGTAAAAATAAAAATAAGGGAGACGACAGGAAGTGAGGGAAAGTAAAAACAAAAGTAAGGAAGACGACAGGAAGTGAAGGAAAGTAAAAACAAAAGTAAGGAAGAAAACAGGAAGTGAAGTAAAGTAAAAACAAAAGTAAGGAAGACGACAGGAAGTGAAGGAAAGTAAAAACAAAAGTAAGAAGACGACAGGAAGTGAGGGAAAGTAAAAACAAATGTAAGGAAGGCAACAGGAAATGAAGGAAAGTAAAAACAAAAGTAAGGAAGACGACAGGAAGTGAAGGAAAGTAAAAACAAAAGTAAGGAAGACGACAGGAAGTGAAGGAAAGTAAAAACAAAAGTAAGGAAGACGACAGGAAGTGAAGGAAAGTAAAAACAAAAGTAAGGAAGGCGACAGGAAGTGAAAGAAAGTAAAAACAAAAGTAAGGAAGACGACAGGAAGTGAGGGAAAGTAAAAACAAAAGTAAGGAAGACGACAGGAAGTGAAGGAAAGTAAAAACAAAAGTAAGGAAGACGACAGGAAGTGAATGAAACTAAAAGTAAAAGTAAGGAAGACGGCAGGAAGTGAGGAAAAGTAAAAATAAAAATAAGGGAGACGACAGGAAGTGAGGGAAAGTAAAAACAAAAGTAAGGAAGGCGACAGGAAGTGAAGGAAAGTAAAAACAAAAGTAAGGAAGACGACAGGAAGTGAAGGAAAGTAAAAATAAAAGTAAGGAAGGCGACAGGAAGTGAAAGAAAGTAAAAACAAAAGTAAGGAAGACGACTGGAAGTGAAGGAAAGTAAAAACAAAAGTAAGAAGACGACAGGAACTGAGGGAAAGTAAAAATAAACATAAGGGAGACGACAGGAAGTGAGGGAAAGTAAAAACAAAAGTAAGGAAGACGACAGGAAGTGAAGGAAAGTAAAAACAAAAGTAAGGAAGACGACAGGAAGTGAAGGAAAGTAAAAACAAAAGTAAGGAAGACGACAGGAAGTGAAGGAAAGTAAAAACAAAAGTAAGAAGACGACAGGAAATGAGGGAAAGTAAAAACAAATGTAAGGAAGGCAACAGGAAATGAAGGAAAGTAAAAACAAAAGTAAGGAAGACGACAGGAAGTGAAGGAAAGTAAAAACAAAAGTAAGGAAGACGACAGGAAGTGAGGAAAAGTAAAAACAAAAGTAAGGAAGACGACAGGAAGTGAAGGAAAGTAAAAACAAAAGTAAGGAAGACGACAGGAAGTGAAGGAAAGTAAAAACAAAAGTAAGGAAGACGACAGGAAGTGAAGGAAAGTAAAAACAAAAGTAAGGAAGACGACAGGAAGTGAAGGAAAGTAAAAACAAAAGTAAGGAAGACGACAGGAAGTGAAGGAAAGTAAAAACAAAAGTAAGGAAGGCGACAGGAAGTGAAAGAAAGTAAAAACAAAAGTAAGGAAGACGACAGGAAGTGAAGGAAAGTAAAAACAAAAGTAAGGAAGACGACAGGAAGTGAAGGAAAGTAAAAACAAAAGTAAGGAAGACGACAGGAAGTGAATGAAACTAAAAGTAAAAGTAAGGAAGACGGCAGGAAGTGAAGCATTTTGACTACCTTTGACAGTGCATTTAGATTAGATTGTTATTTTCACGAAAGTGTATTAAAAAGGGCAATATGTAAGCTAAATAGTTCAAATTTCGAACCGAACATGTACTGATATTACTCCTAATTACAAAGTCGAAAGCTAATTGTGAGATAATTTCTGGTTGAATTCCATTTCGGTCAGTTCATTTTCTTGGCGTAAGTAAACCCCAATCCACAGCTATATATACTTTTTGTAAACATACATTATAGGTCTACACAAACAGTTCAGGATTCCCATCGTTGTCACATCCAAATGTCACGAAAACAATGTCTTGTGTCAGCATATCGGCACGAATCGGTCATATACAGTATCGACGAGTTTTAAACTCAAGCTTAAGTAACAGACCATGTGTGTAAGATAGACCTGTGGTAAAATAGCCGTTGCTTTGTATTTAATAGCAACATCTTTTCGGAATAGCCTTTGCCTTGTATGCTATAGAAACAGCGGACCATTGTTGATTACGTGACAAGTTGATTGATGTGCAGACGAACATTATGACACGTTTTTACGTAAACGTCATAATCGCTGATCAACAGAACAAGAATGATGATGATTTGTTGACGAGGTAGTTACGTCATGCTGGTCACACGTATGTTTGATGTCATCAGTCTGGTAGCGATGACAGACAACAATGTACCTGTCAAGATGGGTTTATTCTGTCTGGGGTCGTTAATAGATCGATATTGGTGCTTCTAACTGTACTGACCTGATACCACTCATTATCGTCCTGTCATTTTTACAATAATAAAACGTCTCCAGAACACTGACGTTCGAGACAATATCCGACAACGGAAGGAGTCGTGGAGACGGAAAAGCTGTAACTAACTTACTAACTAAGTAACTAAATACAATAGCTTTAAGCATGTACCATAGAGAGAACGTATGTTTGAAAATTGAAGGATTGGATTATGCATGAAATCAAAGAGAAAGAAATATCAATATGATCTCCAAGTTAGTTTTTCCTATCCCAAACAAAATATATTTCTGTACATTGTTGTTAAATTATGAAAGAAATATATAAAATTGAAATACGAACTTAAATACCCATCTTTAATATTACCGTACATCTCTAGATGTATAAAATTTAATTCAAACGTAAAAGGATCAGAATAGTATCTAGAAATAACAAAGAAATCTGTGGGACATACGAGACTGAAGTTTTGTATCGGTTTAATATATATCCTTAACGGTATATGTCCTAGACCCATATATTTTTGGTAGCTGTATACAACATACCTATCTCCTCTGCTCGTAATCTACCAACTAAAATAAACTATAACTGGAGGAATTTTTCAGGTTTCACTGGCTCCAACTCTGAGAACAATAATTTAGCATCTATGACTGCCACCTGCATGGAATTTGTCTTTATCCAGTTTGCATTCACAATTCCCAGGAGTGCTAACTTACGACAGTTCAATATTATATTTGTTACTGTTATAATACATCTGTTTATTAAGTGAACCAACCTAGCTTTGTTTATGTTAGTGTTCCTACTCTGTAATCGCTAATTGACCATGAGCATGCTTACTGTATCTTACTTCTGCCTACCATATGTTCTTCCACTATTTTCTTCTTTCCCTAACAGACGACAATTAGGTTTTACGTGTACTTGCATGTCTATCAATACACGTCACTTGACGTTACGTCCCCGTAAAACTTGTGTGAGCGAGACACGACTTAAATTAGAAAGAAACGGCGACGTTTGCGTAAAAAATAATTGGCACTTCACTTGAGTTATTGGTAACAGAAATGTCAAGTATGTGCCAATGCGTCAATATACCGACAGAAAATAAAAGCTATAGAGTTAGGTGGACATTCAAAGTGGATACCCAAATACAAATGTATATCGCAAGAACAAAAGGAAAGGTTCCTGACCATATCATTCCTTCACCCTCCCATTAAAGTACAGGTAATATTGTACATCTTCTTTCTTTTGGGAGAGTCATTCACTCTGGTAATACACATGGAACTTTAAAAATATTTTCGAAAATGCTCCAACTTACCGACATGCAATGCCGCAAAAAGTAGGTAGATATATGTATTGACCATCGTGGTCAGCTTCTTGTCTGGCCGGAATGGCGGACGGAGTGATCGAGTGTACAGGTCGGTCAGCGTTAAATACGTCCAGTTGATGGCTTGACCTCAAATGCTGATGCGTCACATTGTCTTATTGTCTCTTGACAGCTCCATAAATAAACAAAGTTCCGGGCGGACAACTGACCATCAAACCATCAGTGACGTCATCAAACGTCCAAGGCTAACTGTCCAGTACTGCTCACCTCTATCATTTGGTGCACGTAAGAGAAAGGTACGAGCAAAAACCTGTGTACAATTATGATGGACTATGTTTTGAAATGCGCACTTAGCGGACTTTTGATGACGTTGCTGTCAATTACCAATTGTGACCTTCATTTTTATCATAACGTATATACATCGTTGTTATTGTTAAAATGAGTGTATATACATATAAACGTTCTATTTTTAGAATGCGTATTCACTGTGCCATTAATACAATACCAAAGCTAAAGTAATTCAACATCTTATGTAACTAATATAAGCGTTAACTCATGGTAACAAAGAGACTGTCGATACTTCTTTGTAACCAGACACAAAGTACCAGAACTATATTTCAAAAAAATCAATTATGAGATTAATACACCAATTTGTGTATCGAATAAAGCCGATATTTTTCTTTAAACTTCTTTTCTCTGCATGTTCAGTCCTGGTACAAATGTATAAAGCTGTGCTAAAAACTATATGATCCTATTTTGTATACATCAATTATATCTGATACATACATGACCATGCGTTTTCGTTAATGAGAATTAGTGAAATAGATATCTGTTTACGAAGCTGGTATAAATATCATACAATGTCAACAGTATAACATACAGGTAGATCGTTCAGGGGATTTAGTATTACTGATATTTACTATTGTGTTAAGACATTGTTGATCATGATTTGGATATGGAATATGATGTAATGTTACTGTGTGTTCCTCGTCAAACTATCCTATAATATTACAGTTAATAGAACTGCCACAGCCCTTCACTATAGTATTTCATCTCGGTGAGAACTCCAAGTTTACTGTTCATATTTGATGTTAGAAATATTGTGATTCGACATTGAATTGTTAATATGTAATATAGTAACAAAAATACAAAATAAACAAATAATCTGAAGATTTTGTAATCTAGTTATTTAATAAATGATAATAGAGCCTTTGTTTATACCAAGAGCTGAAACCATAAAGTTTTAGAAAACCCGTGGTCGTTTTCTTTAAGATTCAGGCTAAACAAAGACGGAAATACACATTATGTACAGAACGTTCAAATAACATCTAGCCAACGAATTTTGTTTTTTTTTATTCCCAATTGCTTAGATCCGGTTTGTTGAGATCCAGTTGAATTTGTTGAGATTCGGTTTGCGATATCCGGTTTGTTGAGATCCAGTTGAATTTGTTGAAATCGGTTTGTTGAGGTTCGGTTTGTTGAGATCCGGTTGATTTTGTTGAGATCCGTAAGTTAAATCCATTGAAGAAGCTCTAGGATGGCATTTTTCTCTCTTTTCTTTAATTATAAACAATGTATTCTCTGGCAAAATGAAAGTATTTTAGACAAACAAGAAAATAGCGGTTGGCGGCTTTAAGCAGGCCTCCCGGTTTAACCATTAATAACACTTCCCGTTGAATGTCTACCGTTTAATTATGGATGTTTCACAAATAAAATATCATCAAATAATTAATTCATGGTATCTGTTGATATTGGGAACTGTTCTTTAGGTTGCTCTTAACAAAGGATATCTATCTCAATGACATATTGATGATTCTTTTTCACTCAGTGAGAATTGTTTTCACCAAATCAGCTAAAACAAAAGAGGCGACAGTTAACAGCCGGGGTATATCTGTATGTACGAGGTAGCGGTAGACAGCTGTATATATAGTGACAAACAGAACCAATGATGGGCCTATGGAACGATTAAGTTAACTTTTACCATTCATTACTAGACGTACAATGGATTCTTTATAAAATGCTGGAACGTCCATTCTCGTTCTATATTACAATTGTGTATTTCTGAATATGTCTCTGTTGCTAGTGGCTACTTGGTTTTGTGAGGTAGAGTTTAGACCTTGACCACTGACGGACTGGTTCGCCATTGAAGCTGCTAGCAGTCTTAGTTGCCTTTCCCAACGATACTGTTCCACAATCGCTATCTGTAGCTGCTGTTGTGCTAGCAGCATTGGCTTCCGTTCACGGAAGGCTAGGAAACCAGTCCGGTTAAAGTACCTTTGGAAATCTGTGTCGTAGAACAATGGCAGGTTATCTGTGATTGTGAAAGATAACTGTCCAGTAGGGTCGGAGATGTGACCAAACATCAACTGTATTGGAAAAGTTAGCGCCGGGCTTCTTGTAAAATTGTGCATAATAGCTCGATGCTCACTCGCATAAGGGTCAGGGTGCTAGAAATTAAAACAAATGAGAAAATATGAAAAATCCTCGTTATACCGATTAAAGAATTCAAACAAACTAGAAAATGTGAAATATTCTCGTTATATCGATGAACATTTTCTAATGAACTACGTTGTAATAACAAATTCAACTTTCGTGTATAAACAAATGAGTATAATTAATGACTTCCTGTAACAATGTGAGTATATGTACTACACCAGTTTACAGAATCCCGGGCATTAAATATCATTGTAATGACGTAACAATACCACTTTATAGAATCCCGGGTATCAAATATTATTATATCGCAGTCTAAATCATAAAAAACACCGTGATGTCACTATTGTAGTTACTTACAAGTGTTGACATTCGCTCCACTCTACTAAATCGTGAGGAATCGTTGTTCCTGGAAAAGTTCAATGATGCATAGAAAACCTATGTATGATGTGGTCTTAATGAAAATAGGAAAATTCAAGTTCAACAATACATAGACAACCTATGATGTATTTTTTGGGGGAAATCAAGGGTGTTTGATCGTAATTTAAATTCGTTCATCGTGTATACTCATTGTTATTTACAAATTATTCCTTTATGCATTAAAACAGTGTACAAAGGTAATGATGTATTTTCAGAAATGCAGTAATACATATACTCAAAAACAATAAGCTGACCATTATGAGTACGATATTATGAGTAAAAACCACAAGTTCTTATAGGATTATATGATATTGACGAGATGTTCACGTTTTCTAGAATCATACAAAAGTCTGTTGTGATAAACCAGCAGAAATTGTAGGTTAATTTAATGTGCTGAGTTAGCAATTCAACACACTCAAATAATAAACAGATACGATAAAAACATAAAGGCCACTAAGACAATATATCTGGAGAACTACCTATTGCAATATAATTGTGTTCTCGTATTCAATAGCTTGTCATTTTTCTTCAGTTGTTTTGAAACACCTGCAAAACTATTTGCAGTTTTCCAGTTAAGCATACTGAGAGAACATAAAATAAAGTCCTTAGATGTACAATAAACACAGATGGCCTCTGTTGTCTATTCTTTCCATCAGTGAAATCTTCAAGACTCTGTGTGTGTATATATTCATACGTTTTTAAAAAATATTCTGTCCGTAATTTGAATAATAACGGTCAAAGCTAGAACAAGAAGAATCTTTCCGCAGATAAACATGTACATGTTAAGCCAGAGGCTAATCTACAACATGTTCTTCTTGTTAGTAGAATATTTATGTGTTAATTAAAAATTACATATTAACAGCAGTGTATCACAGTTAGGATATGAATTAAAAATAGTCACAAAATGCATAGATTTCAAGTATACGGCTTAAGTCAGTTAAGCTAGTAGACGTGAAATTTTTACCTAGTCCTGAATTCCAGTACCATTCCCCTGTACACCTTACTGTCAACAATGTCTTCAAAGTCAGCCATGAAATCTGTCTTCACTTGAGCTATGAAACCTGGATAGTCGGTCAACCAAGATACAGTGCGATCAGGGTCGTTTTCATCTGCAGTGGCATTCTTCAGGCTATAAAATACATTTAAACAATATAAAGTCGGATACTAAAAGTGTGATTAATAAATCTGATTCCCACTGCCAAATTGAGGATTAGAAAACATCAAAGAGAGAATAATATACACTGTAATAGATAGGTAAGACTTTTATAAACAGATATCATTTTGCAGAGTTCATTAAGAGAAGGTATCCCACCCTATGTTTCATCAAATACGACTTAAATGAAGACAAGCATCAATATCCTTCGCTAACACGAGGCAAGGTGTAGTAGTCAAAATAGTACTTCCCGGAACTAAGAGGGGCACATCACATATTTTTGTAATCAAGTGATGTTGGTTTGTTTTGACAGCGCTTGAAGAAGCCCCATTACTTGACGATTTATCAATAGTTATACATACCGATTATTAAACAGTTACCTGTTTAAGATATCGTGATAACATGTAATCTATATTTTTATTTTATCTTTAAGATAAAATGATTTGAAATAAGACTTCAGGAAATGTTTCTTACATGGCTCCGGGAGGTGCTAAGTAATAGCTGACCTTGAACATGTCAAGTTTCGGAAGTATTTTGGCTCCAAGTATAGCTTTGAATTTCAGGAAATCTTTCCTTTCTTCAATTTCTGCTTCCGTCATATTTTTAAGGGGTCTCTTTACAGTGTTTTCCCATGAAGCACGATGCCATGCTCTTTCTGCGAAGGCGATTAACCGTGGGAAGAGGAGTTGGAACAGGTAATCTTCATCCAACACTTTTGTTGTTGTTATTGTAGCCTGCATACCTATTGTTAAAAATCATTGTTGTTGCTTTTAGAACATATAACATATTTCTATATCTTAAATCGTCATATAGGCACCTGTTCTATAATTACGTAATCATATCGAAGTTAATTTTGATATCATCATACCCATATGTACTTAGGCGTGAATATGTACATGCTGTGGAGTTAATTAGCGTGAAACATGTTGACCCTTTATTTCATCACATATTTCCATAACACGTAACACGTTCCAAAGAAACCCATGCCTAAATAACAGATGCCTTTTTTCAACTCATACTCTTTCTCGAGATACCACTTAACGTCATAATGATAATAACTAAGAAAACGACGACAACACATATGTAATATGTTGAAATAGTTGTTACGACTGTGCTGTTGGTTAAATAATCTTGATTTTAATATGAATCAATAAAATAAAACAAAACGTGATGTAAACATGACCATAAGCACGGTCTTAAAATGACCACATAAGACTGAATATCCAGACGTAAAAACACAAAATAGAATATTGTGTATCTTTTTGCAAAACCATTCCTATTTTCAATGCGAATATATCAAAGTACCTAATGGCCCCTGGTCCGTTGGATCCTCAATGCATACAGGCGGTGGTTGATTGTGTGTGAATCTATATCCTCCTGGGCCAGACGTAGGACATGCATACTTCGAGCAACACATGGCTTCGGGCCAAGTTCCGTATATGTCTTCAAGTGGAATAGGTGCTTTTCCATAAGGCATATCTCCCGGAACGTGTGGACCAGGTTCTTCTTTGATTGACAGGTCGTGTATGTCATGCATGGATATTATTGACTGGAATGGTGAAGCCGATTGTTAGTCGATCGGAATGATATAATCGATAGGTAATAAGTTTTTCCTAGTACACTAGGGTGAAATAGTGTTATCTTACAATATCACTAAGCTGCATAAAAATGTCAAAATATGTAGTTGAAATATGCGTTCTCATAATTAGTAATCGATTTTATTTTAGAATGATGCTGATTTGAGGTATACATTGATGCCCCGAAGGGATCTTTTACCTTGTATCCGTTTTTCTTAAATGTCCTCAACTTTGTCTCTATGTCCATCGCCGTTATGTTTGTGGTGTTTGACGGACGCATGTGAAGTCTGGTCAGGAACATGACTCTGGGATCCCTATGGGTCACAGTGAACCGGAAATTCTTTGGGTACCACTTGCTGATATTGAAAGGCACAAACCAGTTAGGACAATCGTTTGGGTCGAGGCATTTGTTCGGGAATGCTGTAAACATGTTATCATAAGCGTTGATGACAAGGTCATTATCGGTCGCAACTTTTGACAACATTTGTGAAAACTGTACCTTCCTTCTGATGTATGGGTGTTTCAAATTGTTGGTTTTGTTTCTCGCATTACACTTATCAAGCCATGCCTCTACATCCGTGTCCTCACCACCAACTCCGAATGTCTTCAGAGGGTAACCGGCTTCAGCGTGATATGATTTTATAGTAGATATTATGTTTCTGATAAACCTTTCTGTTTCCACTGCACACGGATCTACTTTTCCAAGTCTAAAAAGGTTTGGTTTGAGTTGAGATGTTTTATCCAACGTTGGTAAACTCCAATTCATAGTGTTGTCGTTGGTGGCTTTACTGTAGGCCCGCATGGCTATTTCTGATGCTCTCATGTTCCTGTCAAAACTCCACATCGGAATTATTTCAATGTGTAGACGTTTCGCTATAGAGAGGAGTTCTATATATTCCTTAGCAGTATAATAACCCGACCCAAGCCCATTTCCAGAAGGATCTGATCCCAACTGAGAGAACAAACACGATTCTTCAGCTTCGTCGTGGCATCTTGTCGAACCAACCTTAAATCAAATAGATAGAACTTAAATGTTCTAATGTGAAAGTAAATACATAAAGAAAAAACCCAACATGTCAACGTAATCATAATCCAAACTTAAAGTTCAATAAAACTAGAGCAAAATATGAGCAAACGAAAGATTTACATAAAGGCTTCTGAAATCATACAAGGAGAATAAGACCAGGTTTTCCGGAAGAGTAAGCGTCTGATGCTCCATCGACGACACCTGTCATGTAAACATTGGTCAATCAAAATAAGTAATGTCACGTTTTCAAATGAGAACAAGGTTCAAAACGGAATAAGTAGGCAAAGTAACGGACATCAAACACGTCCAGTTTCATAAGAAGAATTGAAACTGAAAGTTATGGATTCATATATTAATTCTGATAATTGTCTTGACTACGGTTAATATACCATTTCCATTTAACTTAATGTAAAAAGCATGCATCTATTTCACACATGAATGATTTCACCAGGTATACTACTTCCGGCCAATACAACCTACCGTATGAAAATGGGACATTGTTGTAATCTCAAGTCTGACACCGTAATCGTTCGCCAATAATAGCTGGAGCTTGTTGAGTTTCAGAAAAGCCATCACATGAAGTAATTTTTTCAGTGTTGTCATATTAATAAAGTTAGATGCTGTATCAAGTTGAAGTCCACGGTACTGGAACCGCGGAGAGTCAACAATCTTCATTTGAGGAACTGCCAACTGTCTGCCAAGTTTTGGGTGCTCTTCCTTCTCGATCAGATGTAAAACTGTTTGAAACCCATTTAATAAACCATGGGTGGTATTCCCTACGATATGAACGTAAGAGTGATCGGCACTTATGGTAATGTTATACCATTCATGGTAGTTCTCAACTGCAGGAGCAGCTTTCAGCTGGAGAAGTATCACATTATGTAGCAGCGGTGTTGTAGTTTCAGTCATATCCAGTGTACCTGTCGAAAAAAATATATAAAAGTCCTTTCTTTGAAAAACAACCATAGACTAGAGATATTTACAACAATATGAAATTGTATAATAGTTAACTTTGGTATATTATCGTACTGTATTCAGGTAACAATATTCTCAAATGCACCACTTACTTGTAAAATATTCCATTAATACAGATATCCGTGCATCATTTCTTGAATCAATTTTCCAGGTCGAGTTCATGTATACTTTCTTCTGTGGTGATTCATACTTCATACGTGGTGTCGGGATAATGTCACCCTGTGTTGTTTTAGGGTAGATGTTTTTCACGAGGCCAGAGTAACGGTTAGACAGCGATACTGGGAGAATAGGATCTCGTGGAGGATTTCTTGTGTACTGGAAAAGGTTTTGGAATGGTCCAACAAACTCTCGACTTAAATCAGCTTTCGTATTTTGAATAACTTTTGCCGAATTAGTTGTGTTGGCTATGTAGAAGTTTGGGAAGATGTCGTATTTACCAGTAATAGAGGCTGACGTTAGAAATGTTATATATCTACTTCTACCAGGGTTGATTGTGCCAAATGAGTTTGGATCGGGAGTGAATTTGTACATGCAGCCTTCAATGTGTGACAAGGAAAAGCCACCGCGTCTGGTTGGAAATTCATACTCCCCAGTGTCGCTGTCGAATCGTTTGAATTCTATAAGATTTTCGTGACAAACGTAAAGACTCCAGTCACCGCTGTGATCTATTGACGAAGTTCCGTTATTTGTGAGAATTATTGCAGCATAGTAAGATCCTCCAGGGTTGTGGTTGATCAAGTAGTACATTACCCTTACGTCTTTCGCCAAAGTCTCCACATTGGCTGACGTTGTTCCTGCAAAACAAGACAAAATTATGAACTATAAATCGTACCAGGTGATCGTATCGCAGTTTGCGGAAGGAATTTCTTGATATACATAAAGACATTATTATATAAGGATTTTTTTCAGATGGTTATTTTTTTTCGTGGTTTTACCAAAAAATACAAACAAATATGATGCATTTTTCAAGAAATTCATGGAAAAGACTTCATTATTGATTTTTTGTGAGGCATTGATTATCCTTGATTTCGTGAATATTCTCAATCCATGAATTCATATGTCCATGAACTGTTACAAATAGTAAAAGCAGATTCATTGATCTATTGCATTTATTCACAAAATTAACTGCCCACTAAATAGGTTTTTTGAAAAAAAAAGCTTGATAAGGAAACATCATTCATAACAATACGATCGCTACTAAAAGTTTTAGAAAAAAGAATGTGGATAGGATAGTATTTGAAAACAAAAAATTTATAAAATGCATGTTATAATTTCAAGACCTTTACAAGGGACACAGGTGAACACTTTCTAACACATTTAGAAATAGATACATTTTCAGTATAGCATAATATTTTAAATTGCATCATTACATTTGCCTTAAAGAAAATAATTAATGTTAATAGTTTATATCACTTAAAAATATGTATTTTTGTCCTTAGACATTTACTAGAATATTTAACAAATGGAAAACGAGTGTAATAGAGATGTGACGGTCGATTGATATTGTACATGCCTTCAAACGTAACCACAATATCCCTTCCTGGTCAAGACAGACATTTTAAGGTTTGACAGAAACACATTTCAGAACGGGATAAAAAGTAGAAAACAATAACGACGCCCTGTTCATGTTTGCGCCGAGACAATCAACCATCAGTGTTCTGTTTGTTTTTTTTTTCGTTGTGATGACTGTCATGTTTTAAACAGAACAGAATATATCCTGTAATCTTAGCTTTCATTCTAGATAAACAACATAATCTTACGACACCAGTCGGTAATATTTTGATGACGTTTTTTTAACCTAAAGAGAACTTAACCAGATATATATGCAATCATTGTACTTGGAGAAAATTAAAACAGCAAAAGTTGATAAAAAAGACAAAAATGAAACGTTTCAGATGTTTTATGCGCACTGTGTGTTTTTCATAATCTCGGATATATTACAACTAGACAAATGTTTCTTTTATACATTTTCATACCTGTTCAATTGATATGTACATCTGTATATCACAAGTTGTAGGAAATAACAATGTATCTGACGACTTACCGACTACGTGCACCAGAATCAGCAGACAGAGGGAGCCACTCGTTTGTAGTGCCATGATAGAGGGAGGAGTGAAAAAGATGGAGTAAACACAATACGTTAACAAGGAACTCGTCTATTAGTCAGTCTTATGTCACGTGACGATAACAAGACAGGTAAATTGAAAATTCTTCTAAGCCAAGTGTACCTGACCATAGATAATAAGCATGTGATAAGATATTTTACCTGATTTCTTTTTCTCCCATAAAATCATATAATGTTATCTTATAAAACTGATATAGCATCAATTCACAGGCCGCCGAACGTGATATCATTACTAACGGATTTAATTTGACACTGGACTAGTTTACATCGAGATTCTAATAACAAGGAGTTACTGTGACATTTGACATATCGAATATAATACAGACCATACTGATCTTTGAACATTTCGAAAATTTCATGTTACAAATATATGAATACTGAATGTTACTTTGAACATTTAAAAAATTGAATCAGAATTTGGTTATTCACTCACTATGCTGAGTTCGTAGACTGCTGACATACGTTATAACGCGGATTGTATCCTATTTAAACCACGCGTATTCTTTTTAAGTTTCAAATGATTCTAGTTTTGTTCCTCTACGTCTGACGTAGGACAGTATTGTTTCAGTTGGCAGTTACACATAAATAAATATATTGTCATTTGTATTCCTCTTTCTTGTTTAGAATCGAATGTCTACAGAGCCATTCGCCGCGGGATAATGGCAGATGATACTGAAATGGGTATCAAGATTCCAAGCAAAAACAGCTGATAAGCTGAGCACACAGAAGTCTTGTATTACAAACTACTAACACCAAATTTAGAAACCAACAACATGATAGATTTTCACATCATCCGTATACTTTACCTACAACGAAATCATCATGGACAGCTTTCCACCAACCTGTATAATAAACGTTAACGTTTTAGTTTCCCTTGTGTGGTTTTATCATTTCTAAAGAGCTACACCCCAGCTTCCATAACCTATGGTGTTATGGCAGCTGGGATGTTCCCTATTTAATGCAAGATGTTGAAAGAAAAGAAATGATATCATAACATACGAGAAATGCAGGTTCATGACAGTAATGGTGATATTCCTTTACGGTCACCATAGTGATCTCATTGGGTTAAATTATATTTCGTCATGCGATGTGAAGTTGGACGTGTTAAATGCCCGATAGAATGCCTGGTGATTGGGCTCTTGTATACCATTCTGGAGCATGGCATTACTGGCTTGGATTGAAGATCCTGGTATCAGGTTGGTATTTACTTCGTAGTCTACAATACCACATCCTCGTATAACCAAGGTAGATAGTGATTTTGTTCAATCTTTTTCAAGTGGTCAAGAATCCCTACCAGATACAGGCATAATATTGCAAAATTATGCCGTGCGAAATAAATGTTCGTATGCGGCAAAACTAACCATTGTATGTAGTAAAAATTAATAAGGAATTTTCGATTAATTCCCCTTCTACAGTTGTCAAGATATATTATATTCTTTGACCTTGACTTTTACCAAAACGAGGCTACAAACTATGATAGATTGCCCCTAGTGTATATAACGAAAGGTAAGTGAATTGTCCACTTTTCTTTAGTGTCCTTGCTGCTGAAATGATATTTACCAGAGAAAACCTTATTTTTTATCCATTTCAGACGCTTCTCTATCTGAAGTTGTAACGGTTCAGGTGGGCTGGTTTTCTGACTTATCTCAAGTTGACTGTTCAGCTATTGTTGTGTTCGGTCTTGTTTTCTAAAATTTGACTGTCCGTTTAGGTCAAGTTGTCTGTTCGTTTAGGTCGAGTTGTCTGCTCCTTTATGTCGAGTTGTCTATTCCTTTATGTCGAGTCGCCTGGTCGTTTAGGTCGAATTGTCTGTTCGTTTAGGTCGAGTTGTCTGCTCCTTTATGTCGAGTTGTCTGTTCGTTTGTGTCGAGTTGTCTGTTCGTTTAGGTCGAGTTGTCTGCTCCTTTATGTCGAGTTGTCTGTTCGTTTGTGTCGAGTTTTCTGTTCGTTTTGATTTGTCTTCTGATTTACTATCTCGAAATCTTGAAATGTTCATTTAAATTAGTGTTCTAATATTACTAATACTACTTTGATTGATCAATTAGAGTTGTTTTTTATATATCATGCCACATACAGATAAAATTATTTCAGATGACGATACTGTTACCAACATCAAACAAAAGACCAACGAACATTGGTCGAGAATGTATGAAAAAACATCTGGACGTTTTGATTGAAACCCTGGTCAGATATGTCCCTGTATGTTACTGACGACCCGATCTGGGACTCTACAGGTCTAGAGGGAGTTAATGTACATGTACCTTGAGGTCAATCAGAGGCCGTTTTAATCGCGGAAGGGATATCAATTTATCGGGAAAATGTATGCATGTATGTATATGTATTCTTTGACTGAACATGGAACATATTGACCAATTATAGAAACATATCTGAAATGATGGTTTGATAGCATGAACGATAAAGAGATTCGAAATAAAAACTAACGTGCGATGGCATTCCCTGTTACTATTTAATTCATCATGTAATCATGCACGTATGTCCGTTCGCAGGTTAAAGTTATCCAAGATATCCCTTATTTCAATAAACCACAACTCCGGCAAGGTTTTAGACGTTTACAGCATTCATCTCGTTCATTATACACATTTACACTGTAGTTCGTTTCCACGGTAAACATGGAGTTTTACTGATATCTAAATGGATAAAAAAATCTGGCCTGTCCATGTTTCACTACCCGGAGCTGCCTTGGGTTGTGACGCATCCATACAGAAAATCTAAGCTTTATTTTTCTATGACTACATCGTCCATCAGACATATGAGCAATAAAGTGCTACACTGTACTGGACATTTCGCCTGTATTATAATCCTGTGTATACTAATGTTATGTGTTAGTGTGACGAGATGGCGAATACGACTACTATCGTATTTGAATACATGTTCAGAAGATCGGTACCAACCTGACACTATTTCTTAACTTTGCATTTCGAGTTTGCATTGTCCATACACATATGTGTCCTGACTTTCTGGGTTTACATTGTCCATTTAAAGTTGTCCTCTGACTCTCGAGTTTATATTATTTATATAAACTTATCTGTCTCAAGTTTACATTGTACGTATAAAGTTGTGCTCTAATTGTCTCCAGTTTACACTATCTGTAAATAAGTTTTGTCTAATATTCGAGGTTCAAAGAGTCACTTATTTGTACATTTATGTACAAATACAATTTAATCACATATTAATATTTTTGTGACAATAACAACAGTAAAGTAAATACGGACAATGAATTTTATTATGCATGAGCTATTTGTGCTGATCTCCCGTGTCTGCTTGTCAGTCAGAGAATAATCCAACAGTAGAGCGTATATAAAGGAAGCATTTAAGGCGGTACAAGAACTCAGAAGAAGTTTATCCATGTCTTACAAAAGTGTGAAAATAATTTATCAGCATACGGGTCCTAATACTGAGTTACGTACATATATATTTATGGTATGACGTTATCACATGATTAATAGAACCAACATCACCGATGTAACACTAACTGACATCAGTAAGTCACTTACAAAGAATTACATCTCAGTTTACCAATTAACACAAAATTAATATTCGAACGAACATTAAACATTTGGTTCTACACCGCAACAAATGTTCTTTGGCTGGAATTTAAGACGAATGATAAGTTAGCCTAAAAGATTCTGACGTGTGTTCATTAAGTTTTGATTATTTCTCATTTGAGGAACGTTCCTATTTCCGGTCATCATATTGGGATTAGAATTTCGATCAACGGCTGGTCCCGCCATTTGTTGCATTTGCCTTCGATGTGCTTCCATCATACGCATATGTTGTTCGCGATTCTGCATAGCTTGTTGTACAAGTGTAGGCCGTATTCGAGTAAAAGCCTGAAAGCCAGTTCTATTGAAAAACCTGCCGAATTCCCTGTCGAAGTATAACGGCAATTCCGGTCTTATGGCGAAGGAGACTAAACCACTTGGATCATCCTGATTTCTGAGAGTTGTTTGGATAGGATACTCCAATACAGAGGTCTCGGCCAAGTCGCTCATCATCTCCATATGTTCCCTCGCGTATTTATCGGTGAACTGTAACGTGAAAGAGAACTCATCAGCCCAAAGTTCAAAACTATCCAACATATATCTGTTTGTCAAAAACCCGGCAAAATATTTTATATGTCGAGCAGTGACGGAAGACAGGATTTCAAGAGATGTGGCGATAAAGACTAAGATGCGGTTTTGCAGCCATTGGAAAATATTCCATTTCCTCATGCGACATGAAGTATCGAATGCTTGTAAGTACGCCATACTCCGGACCAACTTCTTAAGTTGAAACCCAACATTAATCTAAATTGGACTACTTTTTTTCGTGCCCTTATTACGATTTTGTAAATAGAAAAGTGGTCCCTATCTCCTGCATTAGGAACCCCATGAACACCGGGAAAGTGAGACCTATTTACTGCATTAGGAACCTCATAAACACCGGGAAATTGAGACCTATTTACTGCATTAGGAACCTCATGAACACCGGGAAATTGAGACCTATTTACTGCATTAGGAACCTCATAAACACCGGGAAATTGAGACCTATTTACTGCATTAGGAACCTCATGAACACCGGGAAATTTAGACCTATTTACTGAATTAGGAACCTCATAAACAGCGGGAAATTGAGACCTATTTATTGCATTAGGAACCTCATGAACACCGGGAAAGTGAGACCTATTTACTGAATTAGGAACCTCATAAACAGCGGGAAATTGAGACCTATTTACTGCATTAGGAACCTCATGAACACCGGGAAAGTGAGACCTATTTACTGAATTAGGAACCTCACAAACACCGGGAAATTTAGACCTATTTACTGAATTAGGAACCTCATAAACAGCGGGAAATTGAGACCTATTTACTGCATTAGGAACCTCATGAACACCGGGAAATTGAGACCTATTTACTGAATTAGGAACCTCATAAACACCGGGAAATTGAGACCTATTTACTGAATTAGGAACCTCATAAACACCGGGAAATTGAGACCTATTTACTGAATTAGGAACCTCATGAACACCGGGAAATTGAGACCTATTTACTGCATTAGGAACCTCATGAATACCGGGAAGGTGGTCCCGATTTACGCTTTGTAAACATTACAATTTTTGCGCGTACGTTTTAAAAACAAGTTGAATGTATTTGCTTTTCTTTAAATATATCAGAAGAAAAAAGATTCACTTACATTAGATAACACGACTTCGCTTCTACTGAATCTTGTCGACTGTGCATTTCTACAATAAAAAACTGAAGTATTATTCATTTGTTGCATGGATAAGGAAGTCGAAAAGACGAGATTTCTTCTTCTCTCACATAAATAAATTGGTTGATACGGGTACTTTTTTAGACACGACATAGTTTTAAAAATAAGATAATCGAATAAATCGAGTAAAGTATATCTATAAGTAATTCATTATTGCTATCAGAATCTAAAGTTTATTTCACTGATGTATGTATCGGGTCGGACACCCTTACGATAGTTTTCGGTAATCCGTTATCTGGAGACGGGAAGGATATAGAAAATGTAAGAACCATGTTTTTACCTTGTCCTGAATTCTGCATGCTGTATACTATATATTTTGTTGTTGACGATGTCTTCAAAATCTGGCATTTTATCCGTTTTGATTTGAGCGACAAATCCTGGAAATTCAGTGTGCGCTGAGACTGCTCTGTTCTGGTCATTCACATTGGTAGTTACATTCCTCATACTGAATATAAGAGAAAGAATATAAAATGCCATAGGACGTTCTGTACGCAAAAACAGCCATTATAAATCATGTTGCAGTTTCTTTTAAACATTTCCTAGCAAAACTGTTTATGTGTATAAATGTATTCCAAACGCATGCTTGTTAAATCTAAATTAAGTATCACCAGAATGATTGAGGCAAATACTCACATCGCTCCTGGAGGCGCCATATAATAAATTGCTTTGTACTTGTCCATGGTTGGAAGCAATTTTGTCCCGAGAATGGCTTTAAATTTCTGGAAATCGTGAACTTCTGCTATCCCTGCAGCTGTTAAGTTCCTTATTGGTCTTCTTATCGTGTTTTCCCAGCTAGCTCGATGCCACGCTCTCTCCGCGAAAGCGATTAATCGAGGAAAGAGCAACAAGAATAAATTTGACTCGGTGCGGACTTTTCTCGTTGATAAGAATGCTTGCATACCTGTGTACAGAAACGCGTCGTTAGTAGATAGGATACAATATTTAAACGTCAGCATGACATAAATGATGTAATATGAATATTGGTCCGATGTTTGCAATTTCAGTAAACAGCTAGAGAATATGCCGATTTTCTTGGAATGGGTGTTGTTTCGCAAAGAAATTTGAATGCGAATATATGAAATCAATGGCTGTTTAAAAGAAGGAACCGCGATTAACCCTGTTTAATTAAGGAACACGAACCATTCAGAGGGACAAAGAAATGTCAATAGAGATGGTTTAAATTTGACTGATCTGATATCTTTATCATCATGACAGCTGTTTAGATCTTAAATAGCTGTTCCGATCTTCTAGTGCTTTGCATTGATTCTAAGAACAAAAGTAAGAGAAATAGAAAATTATTTTTTAAACATTATAATTATAATATTTGAATATAAAAATATTTTTGCAATAACTCATTTGTTTTAGCATCATCATGCTACAAATGAATTATTCCAAGAAATAATTTTACAGTGTCTATGCATATCCTCGGATGTTTCGTTTCGCTAAGGATTTGTTCATCTCACGAATATAACGTAACAACAAATTCTGGTCTATATCAAATATATGATATTTCTAACAATCGATGTTGGCAAACAATGGAAATAAACATCAACTGTTATACGTATATATGATAAGAAAAACTTAATTACATCTCAAAGCCAGACTTTCAGAAAACAGTTGAACATCTAATGAATATACTGTAAAACTGTATGTTTTTTGTGGGTCTCAATTTTCGAATTTTGTATCAACAGCTCCTATTCTATGGACACTTGACTTCGTTCTTAAATATAGCTCATTATATCTACTTATATAATTGTAACTATTCGTAGACATGTTATTCGTGGATGAAGAGTATCTACGAAAGCAATAAAAATAACCCTCCACAAAAATAATTATTTTACAGTATATCTAGCATTTAACAGTCGACATACTTGGCATGTGTTCACAACCTTACACAAACAATTAAATGGCATAACCTTTAAGGACTAAAAGGTAAGTTTAAAGGTCAAGGAACGTTACACAACTATCACATTAAAAAGATGGATCGATTATACCAGTGATTCATCCATTTAGACGATCACATATAGCTCTTCATGATACAGAGTAAAAGTTGATTAAAATATTAATCACTCTTGTTGGTCCAAATAGAAGAGCGTGTGGGGTAAAAAGCATTACCAGGGTAAACTTACATGGTCGGGCAGGTGATCACCATATAATTTAACGTCCGCTCGGGAACCGAAGCCCAGACGTCTATGATAAATGCGTTACCACTACTTTATCATTAACAAGGTATTGGTGTCTGCAGAGTGGGTAAATTCGAAAGTTACAGTAAAACAAATCATATCTGCAATGATCTCTATCAGAATTGTGATAAAGAAACATCATCCCATGAAGACAAAGACGTCAAGACGAAGTTGGCTGTTGCAAAATATTTCTCAAGACGAGATGTCGAGAATAAAGTTTGACATCTGAAAGGGTTTGTTTACAGGTAACACGACCTTCAATTCCGTTGTAAAAATTATTTTCATAGCAAACAATGCAAGCCAGTATTACAACTGACCTTATGAGAGGTCCAACCCATTCCCAAACCGAACGTCTTGAAAGTTAAGCAAGACATTTCAAGAGGATTCGTACAATCGACAGTGAAAACCATGGTTGACGCCATATTTTCAGCCGCGTAATAATTTGTTACATATCATTTTTGTTTAACTCCCTCTGAACGTTTCACAGCAAATTTTGTCTCTTAGCAACATAAAGAAGTGATGGAAAAGCACATTTATATTGAAATTTATTTATGTGTTTAGATATATATGACTTTTTAAACGGACTACATTTTGTCGCGTCCTACGAAGTTATAATGAGTGTGTAGTGTCCTCAAAAAGTTCAAGACTTCAAAACAAGATTTCCACAGTATATGAAGTGAAACAGAGCTATTTTCGAGATGCATGACGCCATGCGTTGGGTGAAAACTATACTAGATGGTATTCTTATCAAGGAAACCGATGGACAATGTGATACAAGACTACCATATGTCTCCGAGAAAACCCGAAAGCGTAATTTTGGATTCGACTTTAGTGAAATCCTGAAAGTCCAGGCGCATGTCCAGACCCGTGAGATCTCCAGTCACCAAAAAAGCTCAAGGTCATTCAACTCTCTATTTGTCTACAGATCCAGGCACTAGGCACTCTCTTCTTACCCTTACCTTTAAATCCAAGCCACTTAAATCTCCATTTGCCTGAAGACCGAGAGGACATGGGACTTCTCTATTTAACGAGAGGTCCTGAGACAATGACTTTTTTCTTTACCGGGTGGTCCTGGCAAGGTGCTTTTTCTTTTTACCAATTCTATTTACCTGGGGCAATGACCTTGCAACTTGTCAAAGAGACATGGCGATGTAAATTCTACTAATTTATAGCATTTTGTCTCTAAACTCTCTACTAACCTATCGGTCCTGGCGCATTGACATCTTCTACACATAAAGGGATTCGACGACCCCGATATGAGAAAGCTCCTCTATTGCACTCATATCTGTTACAACACAAGGCCTCTGGCCACATGCTGTAGACATGTTGAAGTGGAATGGGTGATCTGCCTAGAGGCATTTCACCGGGAACATACGGACCCGGCTCCTCCTTTATGGTAAAGTCAAGTACATCTTGTAGTGAGATAATTGACTGAAACAGGAATAAAAATAGATATATACAGACGGACAATATGGTACGACGATTAACAACGTAGAAAATAATATTAAAAAAATAAAAAGTAAAAGAAAAAGAAAAAAACGAATCAAACACGGTAGATCATGAAAACGAACTTACGCAAAATGGATTGGCAGAGAAAGGGATGGAACAAAGCTTACAGTGTTAAATAATTTTAAAAAATCGTTATAACAGGGAGTAGAATAAATGTAAATCAAGACATTTCGAAGGAAAACGTGTATACTACACAAAAATGGTAAAACAGTGACATTAAAAAAGTTTATAAAGTAAGAAACTGTGAAGAGCATAAAAACTTAAGCAAAGGAGTATTGTAGGGAAAGGAATGGAATTAAAACATGTGTATAGATGAAGCAAATAAAATAACATAATCATGCTGTTTACAGGTAGACATTCTTCAATGTTTCCAGATCAACAATCCATTAATATATCTCATTATATAACCCATAACTATATTACCATATCAATAACCAATTAATATCTAATGATATATAACTCATCAATAGGTTACTAGATAACTAACCCATTAATATCTCACAGAACTCATTAATATGTAACTAGAGTATTATTTACATGATGTATAACTCAATAATATACACCCATATAAATAATCCATTAATATATCACAAAGCATAAAACCTCCAAATATGTTACCAGATAGTAACCCATTTGTTCTTCATAGGTGAGCTTCAACGCATTAATATTTCACAGGACATAACCCCTTCACTATCTTACACAGCCTATTGCTCGTTAATATTTCACAGGACATAACCCCATCACTATCTTACACAGCCTATTGCTCGTTAATATTTCACAGGACATAACCCCTTCGCTATCTTACACAGCCTATTGCTCGTTAATATTTCACAGGACATAACCCCATCACTATCTTACACAGCCTATTGCTCGTTAATATTTCACAGGACATAACCCCTTCGCTATCTTACTCAGCCTATAGCTCGTTAATATTTCACAGGACATAACCCCTTCACTATCTTACTCAGCCTATAGCTCGTTAATATTTCACAGGACATAACCCCTTCACTATCTTACTCAGCCTATAGCTCGTTAATATTTCACAGGACATAACCCCTTCGCTATCTTACACAGCCTATTGCTCGTTAATATTTCACAGGATATAACCCCTTTACTATCTTACACAGCCCATAGCTCGTTAATATTTCACAGGAATAACCCCTTCACTATCTTACACAGCCTATTGCTCGTTAATATTTCACAGGATATAACCCCTTCACTATCTTACACAGCCCATAGCTCGTTAATAGTTTACAGGACATAACCCCTTCACTATCTTACACAGCCCATAGCTCGTTAATATTTCACAGGACATAACCCCTTCACTATCTTACACAGCCCATAGCTCGTTAATATTTCACAGGACATAACCCCTTCACTATCTTACTCAGCCTATAGCTCGTTAATATTTCACAGGATATAACCCCTTTACTATCTTACACAGCCTATTGCTCGTTAATATTTCACAGGACATAACCCCTTCACTATCTTACACAGCCCATAGCTCGTTAATATTTCACAGGATATAACCCCTTTACTATCTTACACAGCCCATAGCTCGTTAATATTTCACAGGAATAACCCCTTCACTATCTTACACAGCCTATTGCTCGTTAATATTTCACAGGATATAACCCCTTCACTATCTTACACAGCCCATAGCTCGTTAATAGTTTACAGGACATAACCCCTTCACTATCTTACACAGCCCATAGCTCGTTAATATTTCACAGGATATAACCCCTTCACTATCTTACACAGCCTATTGCTCGTTAATATTTCACAGGACATAACCCCTTCGCTATCTTACTCAGCCTATAGCTCGTTAATATTTCACAGGACATAACCCCTTCACTATCTTACACAGCTCATAGCTCGTTAATATTTCACAGGACATAACCCCTTCACTATCTTACACAGCCCATAGCTCGTTAATATTTCACAGGACATAACCCTTTCACTATCTTACACAGCCCATAGCTCGTTAATATTTCACAGGACATAACCCCTTCACTATCTTACTCAGCCTATAGCTCGTTAATATTTCACAGGATATAACCCCTTCACTATCTTACACAGCCTATTGCTCGTTAATATTTCACAGGACATAACCCCTTCACTATCTTACACAGCCCATAGCTCGTTAATATTTCACAGGACATAACCCCTTCACTATCTTACACAGCCTATTGCTCGTTAATATTTTACAGGACATAACCCTTTCACTATCTTACACAGCCCATAGCTCGTTAATATTTCACAGGGTGTTACCGGTAACCCAGTACCCAGAACACTTATCTATAACTCATTAAAACCTCATATAACATAAACCCATGAGTATGGTACCCACTAAATAAGACGTTTATACCTTTCTGGAAGTTATCCTTTAAATATGTTGTCTTAGATTTACTCAAACAATTTCTCATTTATATAATATATAATTATATAATCCAGAATTTGTTTTTGAAACTTTTGTAAAAATCACTAACGAGAGTGGAAGAACTACCATATACAACAACTGTTAGTTTGTGTGACTCACAATACCACAATGAAATAACTATTCTGACAATGAATTGACCTGTTCTGTTCCAAGCTTGGTTTTGTTTACGAAAGTAGTTTTGAAGTAACAATATGACTTATAATGAAATGATAATAATTACTACGCCAATTTCAGAAAATATTACAAATAATAACAATGAATTGACGGATTTATTACATTAAAATCAATAAATTGCTGGAATCCGGTTGAAAATTAAACCATTACGGAAACAAACATGAGCTACTTATTTCGTTTTAATCTCTGCGAATGGATGAGGCGTCCTTCCAGTCAAAGTTCACCGTGTCACCCTATCTAAACGCATTTATAGTTTATTCCAATTGTTATGACACCTAATGTTGTAAAAAAAGTTTATAGCATGTTAATGGAATTCCCATATTAATACCTTACCGAGTAGCCATTTCTCTGGAACATTCTCATCTTTGTCTCGGCATCGTGAGGTCCTAATTCTGAAACATTAAGATTCTTGAATCGTAGTCTCGTAAGAGTCATAACGGTAGGTTCCCGATGGGTAACGGAAGCTCTAAAGGTGTTCGGCATCCATCTTTTGAGATCATATGGTGTGAACCAATCCGTACATTCGGTGCTATTAAAACATGTTGTAGGAAAGGCTGTAAACTGGTTGTCATAAGCATTCAGTGTAACATCATTTTCGACGGCAATTTTCGCTAACATTTGGTTGAACTCAAGTTTTCGGTGCACATAAGGATTTCCAGGCCTGTTGATCTTGTTACGCACGCGACATTTAGTTAACCATGCGTCGATATCTGTGTCATCACCACCAATTCCGAATGTCTTCAGAGGGTAGCCGGCATCAGTGTGATATGATCTTATAGTAGATATTATGGTTCTGATAAACCTCTCTGTTTCCACTGCACACGGATCTACTTTTCCAAGTCTGAATAGGTTTGGTTTGACTTCAGATGTTTTATCTAACACTGGTAAACTCCAATTCATTGTGTTGTCGTTGGTGGCTTTACTGTAGGCCCGCATGGCTATTTCTGATGCTCTCATGTTACTATCAAAATTCCACGTCGGAATTATTTCAATGTGTAGTTGTTTCGCTATAGACAGCAGCATTTTATATTCAGTGGCAGTATAAAATCCTGAGCCGACTCCGTTTCCTGATGGATCAGATCCGAACTGGGGGGATAAACATGACTCCTCAGTTTCATCATGACATCTTTTGGAAGCAATCTGAAACATAGATAAAATAAGTTCATGACTGCTTCACGCTTGTCAGATAGCAAAACCTCTATTTTGCAGTCTGCGGTTTCGAAAATTTTACAGTTACAAAAAAATGTACTATATCAGAGGAAGAAAATGATGAATCTTTTTATTACAATACGACCAGCATCTCGCCATACTACTCTTCATTAAATTGCACCTAACATTATACTAAGGCGGCAAAACCATGATACATGTGATTACAATGCCATCTAATATACAGGGTATTTCATCATAGATACGCTTCACAGTAGTCATTTGTCTTAGATGGCAGCGGAGTCATGAAATCGTCATCCGTAATTATCTATTCGAGAAATTGTTGTATATGTAAGTGAAAGAAGGTCTTAATCGATGTATTGAAATTTGTGAAAAAATAAATGAATATTGAGGTAAACAAAAGAAAGGAGTTTAACTCAAATATTGATTAATATTACAACAAGAACACAAGTCTTGCCGATACAGATCATTCGAGGCTGCCAAAGGGGTGCAAAAATTTATGATACAAAATGTTATATGAAAGAAAAAAATATAAAAGATTATAAAAGAGTTTTCATTTCACATAACATTTTACGAAACGAGGTTTTTTAATTTGCTTAATTTCATGAGAGAAAAAAAACTTCCATGAAAAAGTTCCACGATACTGCATATTGACATTGTATAAAAATACAAACAACTGAACAAAACCTTTTAATACAACCATAGACTTAGATAAAGTAGAGCCAAACAATAAATTAATAATGTGTAATCATTAAAACTAATAATGGGCCATTAACAATGCGAATGAAAAAGAAAATACACTAATAAGAGAGTAAATATGTACTCACAATATGAAACCCGGGTATGCTTGTTATCTCCAACCTGGCACCATAATCATTGGCTAATAACAAATGCAGTTTGTTGAGTTTCACCAAGGCCATGATTCGTAGCAGTTTCTCTAAAGTTGGTAAGGGAAAAAAGTTTGACGCAACGTCAAGAAGTAGTGCTCGGTGTTTAAACCTTGGAGAATCAGTTATCATTATCTCAGGAACTTCGAATACCCTTGTGTTGTCTGGCTTCACTTTGACCTCCAAGAGATTTAAAAGAGTTTGAAACCCATTGAGTAACCCGTGTGTAGTCTTCGCTACAATATTGACGTATTTAAATGTAGCACTGACTGTTATATTATACCATTCATCGCTGTTTTCCACGAAGGATGGAACATCAGAGACGATCCCAATGGCAATAACATCACTTTGTTTCGGGGTTGTAGATACTGGTATATCCAATGTTTCTGTTTGGAAAAAAGTAACAAATAGATAAAAATATATGTGTTGATAATATCATTCCGCAACCAACGTAGACAAAACTATCTATCCATTATACACTGCATGTGTATTGCTTATTTCTTTAAGTTCAAAATGTTTATATCGGTCAAAATACCAGTCTGTATATAATATACTTTCAAACCTGTCGTTAATTTTGTATTGATCGATCAGATTTTATCCAATACTTATAGTTTAAAAGAGTTATTGATTATGTTCCTTTTTCATTTTATTCTAAACAGTTAAGACGGATCGGACATGAGATCATTGTGTTGTATGTATCAGGAGAAATGTATGTAGATTCTGTTGTATTAAGTCTATTCACTGATTAAAAACGTAAGCAATTCTTCAATAAAAGGAATTATTCTGTTCAGGGGACATTATTGTGAAATACAAATGTGAAAACTTACTCTGGAAATACGACATTAGCTCAACTACTTGTGGACTGTTTGTCCCTGAATAGAACATCCAGCTGCTGTCGATAAAGACTTTTCTATTCGATGGAACGGAGCGTATCAAAAGAGGTGTTGGAATGATGTCACCAGGTTGAAGAGCGGGGTAGCTTTGGTTTGCTAGCACAGCATAGCTTCTAATAGGTGATACAGGTAATATCGGGTCTGTTGGTGGATGTCTTGTGTACTGAAATATATTCTTAAATGGTGCGACGAATAAACGAGTATCCCTTGTGTTTGATATGACTGCTGACTGCGTGTTATCAGCTAGGTAAATATTTGGGTAGACATCGAATATTCCACTGATAGAGAAAGGAGACAGAAACGTTATACGTCTCGTTTGGTTGGGACCTATCGCCTGGAACCCTTGGGGATCTGGAGTAAACTTGTACAGACATCCGCTTATATGTGATAGTATGAAGCCTCCTCGTCTGGTTGGAAGGTATTCCTCTGTGCTTCTGTTAAATCGTTCGAACTCGACGATGTTTTCGTGGCAGAAGTTAAGACTCCAGCCACCAGTAGCGTCTATAGGAATGTTACCAACGTTGGTGAGAATGATGGAAGCATAATAAGTGCCGCCAGGATTGTGGTTTATCAGCTCGTACTTTGCTTCAAGTCGTTTGGCGAGGTCTGCCACATTTGCCGATGCTGTGCCTGGCAAAAGAACAATAACATAATTTTCAGTGAAAGAAACTAAATCATATTGTATTCATTGGTGATTTCTTGTATACAAAAGACATCACATGAAACCCAATGGTATCATTTTAAGAACAATAGTTCTTGGTTTATAAAACAAACCACCACCATTTCGATATTTCATTTTTATATGCAAGAAACTCTCAGATAAGACACATTCATCACTATTCTTAACTAAAGATATGCGGTAAAGCCATTGGTCAGTGAACCTTTAAGGCGTCAACGATCTCGACTGACCCGTCTATGTATAATACCCTCTCTCATATTTGACACTGCCTCTGAGTCGCCATTCAAACTAGATGCCAGATATACTTTCATCATTATGTAATTAAGTTGATCTTTTTGGTAAGTGGCTGTATGTGAACAAAAGAAAGAATTACACGGAGACTTATAAAAAAGCACAAAGAGAATAAGACCAGGTGTTCAAGGAAGAGTAAGCGTTTTCTGCTTCATCGATGACACCTGATATGTATACCTTCAATTGAAGTTTATGTAACCATTTATGTTGTAATGTTATGCGATGTATTTAACATTATTTTGCATATTTTGTAGACACAAACGTTTCATATATTGACATTGACAGTGGTATTTGTAAACGTTTGGGATGCAGTTGATAGTTTTATCCACTGCAGAACACAAATCATTAAGCACATACTAAACATGATATATATATAATGAGATCATGTTGGAAGTAAGCAAGACATGTAAGATAACTTTTCCTATAGAAAACTGGGGATTAAAAACCGACAGATCATTGTACGGATTAACGCAGCTTCAACCTATACACGTTATTCTTATACACCGCTCACATCCCGATTACACCGTTATACAAGTGAAATTAACTTAAACCATGCCTGATGGCTGTAACCAAACCTAGTGGCTGTAATCAAAGCTAGTGGCTGTAACTAAACCTAGTGGCTGTAACCCAGCCTAGTGACTGTATCCACCCCTAGTGACTGTAACCAAACCTTGTGGCTGTAACCAAACCTAGTGGCTGTAATCAAAGCTAGTGGCTGTAACCAAACCTTGTGGCTGTAACCAAACCTTGTGGCTGTAATCAAACCTAGTGGCTGTAATCAAACCTAGTGGCTGTAACCAAACCTAGTGGCTGTAACCCAGCCTAGTGACTGTATCCACCCCTAGTGACTGTAACCAAACCTTGTGACTGTAACCAAACCTAGTGGCTGTAATCAAAGCTAGTGGCTGTAACCCAGCCTAGTGACTGTAATAATGACCGAGTCAAAGTAGATGGGTACTAAGGTGAGTTTCAAAGATATGTTTGAGCAAATTTGCAATATCAATTCTCCTTGTGGTTTTATTTGAGATCATAAAGGTACCAAGCATACGTTTTTTATGACATGATCGTCATATCTCTGCTGAATCTGTGATCATTTAAACACGATTGTGCAAGGTTAAAATTTTTACGACTTATCTTTAGCAAGTTTTTATAGGGATTTTTAACGTCTGTTTTTGCAGGTTTTTGTTTCTCACCGTTTCGGCGATAGCAGCATCCGGTCCATCGTACTTTTGAAACATGTGATATATTTGTTAAGTAATTGATTTGTTTGTTTATTTATATTCATAATAAATCTGCTTTTTTCATTATATGTTTGATTTTGCACATAAAATTCCATTTTCCGAGTTGAATAATGGCATTACATATAAAATCGGGTATTGATATGGCGTTTCCGTAACCGAAAGTAGATTTTGAGTCAAGACATCTCCAAAGTCTAGCTTCTGTGACCAAATTCCATACCCAAGGTAAAGGTAGAATTTTTTTCTTAAATGTCAAAAGTCAAAAAACGACTATTCCAAAGCAACACCAAGTAGATTTACCAGATAATGTATGAATATAATACGGGATGGCACGTTAACGTTTATTGTGAAACTTTACATCGGCATACGTATCACACTGGAATACGTCACGTTGCAGACCGTCAATAGAAAGATGAGTTAGCAATTTAAATTAATGTACTTGCACTATTTGTATCTCAAGTTATCGTTTGGGAGAATGTAGGTGACCAGGTACAAGTGGAGATAAAACGATTCCTGTTCCACTTTTTATGTAAAACCTGTATATATTTCGCTTGCGAAATAATCCATAGAAATTGCTGTGGGACGGGTTTACATGACACTGCCATTTTAACACAGGAATCAACAGAATAGCTGAAGCTCTCAATAGGCAATCTAAGTCCTTTTGAAACACTGATTGACATGAAATAGAATAATTATGATACATTAATAATATAGACGTTTAAGATCAACAAAAAGGTGACAATCATGGTATTAAACCCCATAACATTACAATTAAATGTCAGAATCTAATTAATATAAAAATTAACATAACCTTTGTCGTCAATCAGAACAAAGATCACATAGGTTACGAGCATATAGTTCAAAGATCATGAAGGCTGTTTTAGAGACATACGCAGGGAAACGACCTCTTCCTGTAAAAACAAAGGTCGCGCCGTATATCATTAAAACTCTACAAATGTCTGCTCAAGATAAAACCACTGATCTATAGATTAACACCAAAAGGATTAAATTAGGAACCAATAGGTTCTCAGCGTAAGTATTCAACTTAAATGCAATAACTACGAAATAATGAATTTTCAGTACTTAAATCATAAAAAAATCGAGCCTACTTAAATGTGCTTATCAACTTAAATCTGAAGAGAATCGGAAGAAAAGATTTTATGAAAGACACATAAGAGAATAGCACCTTTTAAATACCATTTTAGTGTTATATATAGCATAGCCGTTTGTAAACTTTAATACGTTATTTCCGTATTGTTCATCATAGCCACCAAATAACACATATAATTATAATTATGCTGATAAAGTGGCGTTGAATGGAACCTAAACTCAAAACGTAAATGTGGAGGTCCAATGATTTGACAAATTTTCGTAATTTTCATATGCCTGATGACTTCCGAAAAACGTGAAGTACATGTGTGTATTCTGAACCGTGCCACTTTTCGAATGAATTAAAACGTGACTTTCAAGTTCCATCAGATCTTGTGGACCTGATGTCCACCGGCAGTCTTCCAAATGCTATTAGTTAGCTTAAACGCTTTATGTCTTCTTACGAGTTTCCGGTAGCGACATTTAAAATAACATTAATTGACTGAAAAGACACCTAAGATTCCTTTAGTTTACCGGTAAAACATCTAAGATGCTCTTAGGTTACAGGTAAATGCATCTAACATCACTTTAGTTTACAGGTAAAACATCTAACATCAATATTTCAGTTTACAGGTGTAAAAACACCTAAGATAACTTAAGTTTACAGGTAAAACATCTAACATCAATATTTCAGTTTACAGGTGTAAAAACACCTAAGATAACTTAAGTTTACAGGTAAAACATCTAACATCAATATTTCAGTTTACAGGTGTAAAAACACCTAAGATAACTTAAGTTTACAGGTAAAACATCTAACATCAATATTTCAGTTTACAGGTGTAAAAACACCTAAGATAACTTAAGTTTACAGGTAAAACATCTAACATCAATATTTCAGTTTACAGGTGTAAAAACACCTAAGATAACTTAAGTTTACAGGTAAAACATCTAACATCAATATTTCAGTTTACAGGTGTAAAAACATCTAAGATAACTTAAGTTTACAGGTAAAACATCTAACATCAATATTTCAGTTTACAGGTGTAAAAACACCTAAGATAACTTAAGTTTACAGGTAAAACATCTAACATCAATATTTCAGTTTACAGGTGTAAAAACACCTAAGATAACTTAAGTTTACAGGTAAAACATCTAACATCAATATTTCAGTTTACAGGTGTAAAAACACCTAAGATAACTTAAGTTTACAGGTAAAACATCTAACATCAATATTTCAGTTTACAGGTGTAAAAACACCTAAGATAACTTAAGTTTACAGGTAAAACATCTAACATCAATATTTCAGTTTACAGGTGTAAAAACACCTAAGATAACTTAACTTTACAGGTAAAACATCTAACATCAATATTTCAGTTTACAGGTGTAAAAACACCTAAGATAACTTAAGTTTACAGGTAAAACATCTAACATCAATATTTCAGTTTACAGGTGTAAAAACATCGAAGATAACTTTAGTTTACAGGTAAAACATCTAACATCAGTTTAGTTTACAAGTAAAAACATCTAACATCAGTTTAGTTTACAAGTAAAAACATCTAACATCAGTTTAGTTTACAAGTAAAAACATCTAACATCACTTTAGTTTACAGGTAAAACATCTAACATCACTTTAGTTTACAGGTAAAACACCTATGACAACTTAAGTTCACCGGTAAAAACATCTAAGATAACTTCAGTTTACAGGTAAAACACCTATGACAACTTAAGTTCACCGGTAAAAACATCTAGAATATCTTTAGTTTACAGGTAAAAACATCTTTGATAACTTAAGTTCACAAGTAAAACATCTAACATAACTTAAATTTACAGGTGAAGAGACGAAATTTGCCCTGGAGCAATGCAATGTAAAAATAAGCATTTGAACTAGTCTTATTAAAAATGTAGTCTAAACTAGTAAGACCTACACATACAACTTCGATGTAATCTTAGGCATTCTAGGTACATGTTGTAGAATAACTGATCATCTGTTGAGAAAATTCACGTGTCTTGGAGTGAAATAACTAGCATATAAAAGTGGCGAATAAACACTACTACTGAGTACATGTGATATATTCTTTGTGCATCTCTTTTCAGGTTACAAAATAGTGTTGTCTTCTGTAATGACCGGTAAATGTAAACCTAAATCTGATGTCGAGATAAAGGTGAGTTTATTTCATAATGACAAAGCATCTAAATTTGTATAGAAGTCATCTTATCATCCTCAAACAAAAGAGTTTTCTAAAATAAATGAAATACTCGAGATCAAATTGAAAGATAGTTAAATAATAAAAATGTCCCTCTCTTAATCTGGCACTGGCTACCGATATTTGAATTCCATTGTGCTTTAAATGACTATCTGATGACGAATATATTTGTATTAGCACTGGGCAATTATGATTTTCTTATCTTCGTTGATGTCTTTTCGAGAAAAAAAAATTAAGTGTTTTTATCTGAGGAGTTAAGGAAAATAATGATTAAACAAATCAGTATACCAATAAATACATAAAATACTATTACCACACTTATATCTGGTTTAACAGATGTATTAACAGTTTCCATTTAACTTAATTACAAATCAATATCGAGCTTTCAATCACATTTTGGTTATTACATTTAAATGATGTTTACGAAAGTTCATACTTTTTCCAAGGATATAATAAAACCGTGAATGGTTAATATATTTTAAGTAAAAGTAATAATGATGTATTTCATGACTTCCGAAAAATTTAAACCATCAAACACTTTTACAATACTAATTAAATGAAAATTGTCACTAAAATATTCAAATTACATGGAGAGTTCATTTATCAGAATGGATTAAACAAAATACGTATTAAATAAGGAATACTACTGATAGGAAATTGTAATTTACACGATGATATGTATGATAACGAGTTGTAATTACAGAATGTCTCTGAAAACTAAATGTAATTACACAATATGTCTGACAACTAGCTGTGATTACACAATATGTCTGACAACTAGCTGTGATTACACAATGATATGTCCAATAACTAGATGTAATTACACAATAATGTGTGATAACCAGCTGTAATTACACAATATGTCTGACAACCAACTATTATTTCACAATAATATTTCTGACAACCAATTGTTATTGCTCAATGACATGTCTGACAACCAGCTGTTATTACACAATAATATGTCTGACAACCAGCTGTTATTACACAATGAGACAACTAGTTGTTATTTCACAATGATATTTCTGATAACTAGCTGTAATAATTCAACTAGCTGTTACTTACAGACTAGGGTTACAAGGAGCAGAAGAAGCACCGGTCCACGGGATTGAAGATCCTCCATGATGTTACGGAGGTGTGCTATGACCCGCCACACATATTCCGTCTGATTTATAGGTATAGCCAGCCTGCCCGTCCACACGTGACAGACCGTAAACTCGTCACTAACACGTAGTGTTAATCTAACATACGATAACTATCAAAACAAGTTGCGTCGTTTTTCAAATAAATTAGGAAACAATGCGTCAATTTAAATGAATTGTACCAACCAGTACCTAATCACACTGGCCTTGGATCTCTATATGTCTGAAGACTTTTTCTTCTCATTAGGTGCAACTGTTTCACAGAATTTATTGAAACCTAGTGTGACAAGTTCACACTTGATTATCAATTTCGTAAAATAAGTGTTTCTTTTTAAATCGCAGTTTGTTTTCTTTCCTTTCAGTATAAATTAAAATGAAAAAATATAGAGAAAATTATTTCATGTTGGAATCACTTATATATTATCTGACTTTAGCACGCCACTAAAACTAAAAAAGAGTTAAAGGAGAATAAGACCAGGTGTTCCGGAAGGATTATCATTTTATACTTCACCGACAACAAACACCATGTATATATCTTAGTCACTATAAGTAATTAATGACACATTACAGAGTAAACGTCGAATTCCCTTTCTTTAAAGATTAAAAATCATAAATGTCATGATTTTTGTGACCAATGTTAATACCTCTTCCAAACGAACTTATGAAACCTATTATGAAGGTATGCAAATGAAAGAATATGGACAAGATAACATATGATAAACGTAAATAGTTTCCCTAGCATATTTATGAAATGCCAGTATAATGAACATTTCTAACCACAGTTGTAACATTTCTATAGTGTTGGTAGAATGGAATGTTATAACCACAGTTGTAACATTTCTATAGTGTTGGTAGAATGGACTGATCTAACCACAGTTATAACATTTCTATAGTGTTGGTAGAATGGAATGTTCTAACCACAGTTGTAACATTTCTATAGTGTTGGTAGAATGGAATGTTCTAACCACAGTTGTAACATTTCTATAGTGTTGGTAGAATGGACTGATCTAACCACAGTTATAACATTTCTATAGTGTTGGTAGAATGGAATGTTCTAACCACAGTTGTAACATTTCTATAGTGTTGGTAGAATGGAATGTTCTAACCACAGTTGTAACATTTCTATAGTGTTGGTAGAATGGAATGTTCTAACCACAGTTATAACATTTCTATAGTGTTGGTAGAATGGAATGTTATAACCACAGTTGTAACATTTCTATAGTGTTGGTAGAATGGAATGTTCTAACCACAGTTGTAACATTTCTATAGTGTTAGTAGAATGGAATGTTCTAACCACAGTTGTAACATTTCTATAGTGTTGGTAGAATGGACTGATCTAACCACAGTTATAACATTTCTATAGTGTTGGTAGAATGGAATGTTCTAACCACAGTTGTAACATTTCTATAGTGTTGGTAGAATGGAATGTTCTAACCACAGTTGTAACATTTCTATAGTGTTGGTAGAATGGAATGTTCTAACCACAGTTGTAACATTTCTATAGTGTTGGTAGAATGGAATGTTCTAACCACAATTATAACATTTCTATAGTGTTGGTAGAATGGAATGTTCTAACCACAGTTGTAACATTTCTATAGTGTTGGTAGAATGGAATGTTCTAACCACAATTATAACATTTCTATAGTGTTGGTAGAATGGAATGTTCTAACCACAGTTGTAACATTTCTATAGTGTTGGTAGAATGGAATGTTCTAACCACAGTTGTAACATTTCTATAGTGTTGGTAGAATGGACTGATCTAACCACAGTTATAACATTTCTATAGTGTTGGTAGAATGGAATGTTCTAACCACAGTTGTAACATTTCTATAGTGTTGGTAGAATGGAATGTTCTAACCACAGTTGTAACATTTCTATAGTGTTGGTAGAATGGAATGTTCTAACCACAGTTGTAACATTTCTATAGTGTTGGTAGAATGGAATGTTCTAACCACAATTATAACATTTCTATAGTGTTGGTAGAATGGAATGTTCTAACCACAGTTGTAACATTTCTATAGTGTTGGTAGAATGGACTGTTCTAACCACAGTTGTAACATTTCTATAGTGTTGGTAGAATGGACTGTTCTAACCACAGTTATAACATTTGTATAGTGTTGGTAGAATGGACTGTTCTAACCACAGTTGTAACATTTCTATAGTGTTGGTAGAATGGACTGTTTACCATAGTTATAACCACAGTTGTAACATTTCTATAGTGTTGGTAGAATGGACTGTTCTAACCACAGTTATAACATTTCTATAGTGTTGGTAGAATAGAATGTTCTAACCACAGTTATTTCATTTTATTGTGTTGGTAGAATGAACTGTTCTAACCACAGTTATTTCATTTTATTGTGTTGGTAGAATGGACTGATCTAACCACAGTTATAACATTTCTTAAGTGTTGGTAGAATGGACTGTTCTAACCACAGTTATTTCATTTTATTGTGTTGGTAGAATAAACTGTTCTAACCACAGTTGTAACACTTTTTATTGTGTTGGTAGAATGAACTGTTCTAACCACAGGTATAACATTTCTATATTGTTTTTAGAATGGGCTGTTCTAACCACGGTTATAACATTTCTATAGTATTGGTAGAATGAACTGTTCTAACCACAGGTATAACATTTCTATATTGTTTTTAGAATGGGCTGTTCTAACCACGGTTATAACATTTCTATAGTGTTGGTAGAATGGACTGTTCTATCCACAGTTATAACATTTGTATAGTGTTGATAGAATGGACTGATCTAACCACAGTTATAACATTTCTATAGTGTTGGTAGAATGGGCTGTTCTAACCACAGTTATAACATTTCTAAAGTGCTGGTAGAATGGAATGTTCTAACCACAGTTGTAACATTTCTATTGTGTTGGTAGAATGGAATGTTCTAACCACAGGTATAACATTTCTATAGTGTTGGTAGAATAGACTGTTCTAACCACAATTATAACATTTCTATTGTGTTGGTAGAATGGACTGTTCTAACCACAGTTTTAACATTTCTATAGTGTTGATAGAATGGACTGATCTAACCACAGTTATAACTTTTCTATAGTGTTGGCAGAATGGACTGTTCTATCCACAGTTGTAACATGTCTACAGTGTTGGTAGAATGGGCTGTTTAAGCACAATTATAACATTTCTATAGTGTTGGTAGAATGGAATGTTCTAACCACAGGTATAACATTTCTATAGTGTTGGTAGAATAGACTGTTCTAACCACAATTATAACATTTCTATTGTGTTGGTAGAATGGACTGTTCTAACCACAGTTTTAACATTTCTATAGTGTTGATAGAATGGACTGATCTAACCACAGTTATAACTTTTCTATAGTGTTGGCAGAATGGACTGTTCTATCCACAGTTGTAACATGTCTACAGTGTTGGTAGAATGGGCTGTTTAAGCACAATTATAACATTTCTATAGTGTTGGTAGAATGGAATGTTCTAACCACAGTTATAACATTTCTATAGTGTTGGTAGAATAGACTGTTCTAACCACAATTATAACATTTCTATTGTGTTGGTAGAATGGAATGTTCTAACCACAGTTATAACATTTCTATAGTGTTGGTAGAATGGAATGTTCTAACCACAGTTATAACAGTACTGAAATGTTGATAGAATAGGCTGTTCTAACCACAGATATAACATTTCTACAGTGTTGGTAGAATGGACTGTTCTAACCACAGTTATAACATTTCTACAGTGTTGGTAGAATGGACTGTTCTAACCACAGTTGTAGCATCACGGAAGAGTCGGTAGAGTGGACGGTTCTGGATTGAGCCTGAGGTAAACTCAAAGTGATCGAAAAACACTTGAAAATGTAAAGGCGGATGTATTCTGTCTCGATTACTCAATAAGTTTCGTAATTTTCATATATTAACCACTTATGATGTGAGTGTCGGTAGAAGGAGCAATTTTAACAGGTTAAAACAGCAGCGAAGTGTCCACAGAATGAGTACAGTTATACAGCTAAACATTGATGTTTCAATCATAAGGTAGAAGAGTTCGAACAGATTTAGATTCATTGACAGTAACAAGTGGGATTGGAGTATTAAAAAAAATGATGTAAAAAGTTCAACGCACGTAATAGCCTGTCGTCAAAACAACATAGAAAAGAAAAAAGTGTAACAAAGCACAGAAAACAAAAAGTTACAAAACATCAAACGATTACATTGTGTGTTTTAAACTGTGGTCAACTTAGCCTCTAAAGATGCATGTGACGTTATGTAATGTGCAGCATTTAAACATACTTTGATCGTTATCACGGATCGTCACTGGTGTAGCGAAATATACTGAAAGACACGAAATATCTTTCAAGACAGCCACCGGACAATAAATATGAAAACAGATCTATCAAATGCAAGGTAACATTTTGCGCAATGAGCAATCACTTTCCTTATCAAATTGATAGACGGTTCAATTTTTACAACATAGATATTCTCAACGAAGATACTGACAACCAGCAATTTGATAATTTTTTTCATAATTTGATCCCTCTGTTTATTTCTTTATTTGGACGTTTTTTAATGAAGTATATCGCAGTATAATTCACAACCACATGTTTGCAACGCCTTCACTTTTCTTTGAAAAGAAAACTCACTTAAGAAGAGAACGAAGGATTTTTTTAGTAGTTTTGGATCGAGTATAGCTATGTACAGACAACTTAATGATAACGTTCTTTTTAAACTAATAGTTCCTTTTAAGAGGGTATTGAAGAATGGTCAAGAGTTGTTTGGGGTTGTTTAAAATCCACATCCCATTAATTCTATTCTTGAGTGAACAGTATCACAACAAGATGATAACCTGTACAGTTCATTTTTACCTCCTCCCATTGATACATTAGAATTTGATTGGCGAAAAGAAAGCAATAAAATACCAATATGTCAACATGATCTTAATCCAAACTCAAATTCAATAAAACGAGGACAAAATGTAATCAAACGAAAGATTTAAACAGAGACTTCT